TTATTTTTTTTTGCTTCAAATTTAAATATTTTTTTATATATATATATTTTATGTATTTTATGCTTAATATGCTTAATAAGTTTTAATTTCATTTTTAGTGTTTATTTTGTCAATATTTTGATTACAAAATATTTTAAACAAAAGTTAAATTGCATTTTTTTAATACAAAAAATTTCAAATAAAGTAAAATTCCAAAAATATTTTATTAACTTTGTTATATTTGCATATGAGGAGATTCATTTGCTTAAACATTATTTAAAAGTTTTTATTTTTTTTTGCTTCAAATTTAAATATGCTTATTAAATATGCTCCTTTTAATTATGCTTATTTTCTGAAATTATTTGAAATTGAAATTTGAAAATAAGTTTTAATTTCATTTTTAGTGTTTATTTTGTCAATATTTTGATTACAAAATATTTTAAACAAAAGTTAAATTGCATTTTTTTAATACAAAAAATTTCAAATAAAGTAAAATTCCAAAAATATTTTATTAACTTTGTTATATTTGCATATGAGGAGATTCATTTGCTTAAACATTATTTAAAAGTTTTTATTTTTTTTTTGCTTCAAATTTAAATAAATTTTTGTGCTACGAACATTTGACGAGCGCCGAATTCGTGAACCTTCCATAGACTTACACATTTAGCTGCTAATACCAAAATTTGCATAAAATCAAACCTTTGCATGTTAGAGTTTTTTTGGCAATGAATAAAGTAGCACAAATATTACACTGTTCCTGTACTTGCACTCATGAAAAAATTTGCATAATTATTCCTTCCATTTAATGTAACTTTATGTCATAAACATTTTCGAAAAATAATCATACAATCAAGTATTTGCATATTTGAGTTGCTTTTTTATTACTTATCATTAGTATTGAAAATAAGAAGCGCAAACCGGTACATGAATTAAACAATCGCTTATTTTAATTTGACACTTTTCTGTATTCAAAATTTTAGGCAGTAATTATTTCTCACAAGGAAATTTAACGACTTGAATAATTTATGTTAGCTAATTTTAGTATTCATTCAAATGACCTTAATCCATCTTTTCAAGAACTACGAATTCAAATATCCCACATTTTAGACTATTTAAGAGGCCTATCTTAATACTTTCTTAATTATACAATTTTCAGTCCTTCAATTTTTTCTATATATTAATAATTTCCTTTGCTCTTATCGTTTTGTTATTATTTATTACTATTTTTTCAATATTACTTGCTACTGTTATTTCTTGTTGTTGCTGTTAGTTACTTGATCAAAAAGTATTCAAATATTTTGTTAAAAAATCACAAATTATTTATCAAAAGTGACGAGTTGATTTTTTTTCAATTGTTAGTAAATATCTACTATATTTTCTGCTCCCATTACTGATAGCATATTAACAGTTTACTTTGTAACAAGCGGACTTTTGTAAAAATATTGATTTGATCAGGATAAAATGGTAATTTTAATTTACTTTTGGATGTAATCATCAAAAGGCATGAATTTCGATTATTTTGAATTTTCTGATTTTTGAATCACTGCATCTAAATCAATCAGCTAAACCTAATTATGATTATTTTTGAATGTATCGGCATTCACAAGTCAGTTTAGCAGTATTTGAAACAAAACTTTAATATAACTCAATATAAGAAAGTAATAACTTAGTATAACTAATATAACTTAATATAACTCAATTTATTTTAACTCAATACAAGAAAGTAATAACTTAGTATAACTCAATATAAGAAAGTATGAAGTAATGAAAATTATTTGTTTTTTTGGAAATTTTTTTTCCCTTTTTCGTCTTCCAAACCTGTCTCTCTTCCATTTTCTATATTTTTACAAAAGTAAATTTTGCATTCTCCGTAGAAATTGTTTTTTGCCGTCAGAAATTATCTATCTGATGTCCTTGGAAGTCTCTCACGATAGTTATTTTGCTCAGTTCTTTGCAATTTTTTAAATTTTCTCAGCATACAAATGTACACTTAACGTTTCTTATCATTTTTTTTCTGTGGTTTTTATATGATTATTATTTTGCTAAAGTGATTATCATCATATTTATTAATTAACATTTTCATTTCTTTTAATTTTTATCATAAATACTATCAATAATTATGCAAAAACTATTGCAATTATCAATTACTTTTGTTTACTAATGTTATGTCAATTACTGTTCACTTTTAAGGCATTTGCATCATGAGATAATTGACCAAATACTTTTTAATTAGCAAAAAGTTAGTTGTCCAAAAATAAGCAAATTTTTGTAAGCGTTGCCATTACTTTTATTATCATCATCTTTATTAGCTTATAAATCCAAAAAAGGTAATGAAGTTAAGAATTCAGTATCAACAGAGGATATTTTTTAAAATTTTACAGTAATATTTACAGATATTATGATAATTATTGTATGGAAAATATTGTAATACAATTGCTTTTGTAATTAAGTTATAGTTCATAAAGCTTTTAAAAATTGATTATTAATTTTGATTAAAAAATTTTTGAAATTTTTCACAGTAAATTTAAATGTATTACAACGGATAGAAAAAATTTTTATTTTAAAGTAAATTCATGCAATGATTTTATTTTCATTTATGTCTTTTGCTGCTAAATTTTTGTAATGTCTTGAATTATGCGGTCACTGACTGAAAATTATTACCTGAAGGCATTTTCATCAAGAAATAATTGCCAAAATATTTCAGTATATACTTCATTAAACTTTTTTGAATTCTTTGAAATATGCCGTAAAATTCATAATAATACATAGTATGTTACGGTAATAAAATGGAATTTATTAGCAATAATTGTTGTGATTCTTTCTTAAAAACTTGTATATTTCTAAATTATTATGCAGTAAATATATGTTAAAACTCAAATCATTCACTGTTTCTTACTTTATTTCTGACTTTTGGAGTCAGTCAACATAATAACTTTTTTGTTTACGGTTTTTGATAATCCGTTAAATATTTATTTTTAGGATGTAAAAAATTCAGATAAATTTAAGTTATATGTATTAGCTAAAATTTGAAACTTCTCGGCTAGATTCGACTATATTAGTCCAATAATTATAATTACAACTTTATATTTTAATTATTTTTGGAATAAATATGTTTGTTATATACTCCTATTTATATTTTTATTATTTCTTAACTCTTGTAGTTCAATTGTAAAGTAAGGAAGTAAGTAAGTACCTTTGCCATAATTTTGTTGACTTATTTACTCTTATTGTGCAGTAAAAATTTGCATAATAATTTGTATATTGAATGCGCTACTAATTTGTCAGTTTATTACCAAATCCAAAACTTACGTCAATATTTAAAAATGTGAAAAAAATATTTGCAAAATTTATCAAAATTTTTATTTAATCAAAGTTGAAAATAGTTTGAATCATAGATTGATCAGTCAGTATGTAATCAAATTATCTTCTTTCATCGATAAAAAAGTGAACAGCTGCAATCTTCCAGAAGTCACTTTAAATATGAACATAACAAGATTTTTTTACTCGCATGACTAATTCTTATTTTTTCTGACAAATCGGTCGTTACGTCAATTTGCATATTTGTATTTGTATCACTGATTGGTCAATTTTTTGACTATCCATAAGAGATTATTTGGTGTATTTTTACTTTTAAAAAAGTCACTAAATTTAAGTATTCAATTATTAAATAAAGATTTGAGTAAAAAGTTTTTTCTATAAATCGTTCTTTAAATTTCAAAAAATTGTCAAATCAGATGTCAGTGGAATGTAGTTTATAGAAAACTCTACGTTCTTGAAATGCTTTGATTACATTATACTTTTTTGATAATTACTTGTTAAACTGAAATATGCTACTTATATATAAGTCTTACTTATACTTTTTGATTAATAACTAACTTTTACAAGTTATACTTCTTGAGGAATGAATAAAAAGTTATGCTTATTGAGTTAAAGTAAGTTATTAACTAAAGAATTTAGCAAATTTAGTCAGTGAATAATTTACTTACTCAAGTATAACTTTTTTATGCATTCAATTTTTATATTTGATTCATGCAACAATTTCTGCTACGGCTAAAATTTGTTGACAACAATTATGCAAATTTGAACTGGAATTAAACGAAAAACATTGATTACTTATGCAAATTATCAATTCTCACACCTGCAAAATATTAGTCTTGCAAAATTTCAATTTGTAAACAGCATCTGAGCCACTGTCAAAAACAGCTGCTATGTAATACATCTCTTCGATTTAGTCTTCTAATGCACCGCTCTTGATAGTCACATTATTTTTCTCTAAGAGACTTTTATAGCTATTTATTTGTAATATTTGTTTGGCGTGAAATTATTTTAAAGTACTGTTAGTAATTTGATCAGAAAGCTGTGAATACTAAATTCCTTACTTAATTTCAGATTTGAACTTTTTTTAAAATCGAGTTCAAATTTCAGGTACAGTTAAGAGATTATGAGTAGTTTTTTAAAAATTTCAAAAATAAACTTCAGTAGTTGCTTCAAAGCATTAATACTTGCTTTGTAGTACCATTATTTCCAGATTTTATGTGTATCTTATAAAATTTTACAAACTGGTGACAAATAAAATATTTATATTTACACCCAAAAATAATGCATAAAGTTGAAAAAAACTATCGAAACACTTTTTCTTTCACACTAAAACCTTTTTTAATTTCCTTTACACTGTTATGATAAAATTTTTTAAAATGAATATCATTAATAGCAATTGATCTTGTGCTAACATATGAATCAATGGAATATACTGTAGTACTGTAGAATATACTGTAGTGTACAAGAAGCACAACTTTATAAAGTTCATTTCACAGATAAGTAAAAGACTGTGCAGTTGAATGAACACTATGTTTATTTATTTTGCATGCAAAATAACATAGTGTTCATTCAATTTTTAATATTCGTTAACATTTAGGATAAGTTGAATTATTCTAATTCAATTTTGCAACAAATCTTAAAAATTTTGTTTTTTTCTAGAAAATTGAATTTGAAAATTTGTGGATAATAATTTGGATTTACAGATGGTTACAAATGATGCTGGGAAGTTTTATTTGAAAGTGGAAAGAGGATGTAAACCACACGTACGGTTATTCAAAGAATCACGTAATGCGCAGGTTTTTCATAAAATTTTTGTGACCTTGTATTTAATCATTTTTCGAAGTCAAAAATTTCTGTAAATTACTTTCTGTAATGACCTCTAATGTTTTTTTTTTACTTTTTTTGCTTAAATTCAAAAGGCTTAGTTTAGAAAGGTCACTATAAATATTAATGGATAAAAATTTGATAGACATTACAATAATACTTACAGCAAATAGAAATAATTTATATTTTTGAAACTTTTTCATAATAATTGAGTCTAGTTATCATATTTGATTTAACTTATATTTGCGCAAACAATGTATATTTTTCATATTCATTAAAATTTTCTACCTAGTTTACAATAATTTTCGATGAGTACATTTTAAAAATAATAAAAATTTTAATATACTATATAAAAACTATGAGCTTTCAAATTAGCTATATGAATAGCACTTGAAGATATATTATTGCCAAAAATTTATCACAGAATATAGGTTTTATCAATTTATAATAATCTGCAGATTATTATAGTCTTTCAAAGAAATATGTATAATGCATAGCTGCACTATTTTTGTTATGAAGTAAAAAAATTAATTAATTAATAGTTTTTGTCATTTCGCTCAAATATAAATGAAATTTATTATTTGACTGTTTATATTTTTGTCTATTTTCATTTATTATGCTGATTTAGATCACAATTCCATGTAATCAAACAACAAAATGGCCACCAATACGAGTAAAAGTGAACAGAGACTTGACAATTCTCGTGCAGAAATTGGAACAACAGTACAAAATTACTGTTCAACGAATTGTAAGTTTAATGCCAACCAAATATTAGCTGTGAAAAATAAAATAAAAAATTTTGATTATTTACAAGAAAAGTATATTGTTTTTAATAACAATAAAAGAACTCGTAGATGGAACAAAAACCGGAAATATGCATTTACGTAAACGCTCTCACGTATGAACGAGATATCCGAACGTGTGTTCGTTATATTAATACACACCTGAGTCATGTAGGCATCGCGGGACCTAATCTGGAAGTATGCTTTAATTAAATTTTGTTCATTAAATTATTATTAAAATGGTTATATTTTTGGTAGTTTAGCCTATTAAATGTTTTACTTATTGCATATTGAATTTTATAATAAGTTTTAATGTTTTAGATTTGTCTCAAAGGAGCAAAACGTACTAAATAAATTTCAGAACATTTCTCAAGAAATTAACCTCAAATCAGTTTTTCAATCTAATTTAATCTTAAATATTCAATTAAATTACGTTGTAAGCAAATAACTTCAATCTTTTTGCCATTTTTTCAATTTTCGAGTTAGATCAGTCCCAACAATCTTAAGTTGCGACTAGTCTTAAATTCTTCGTTTATATAACCATTTTAATAATAATTTCAGATTAAATTTAAAAATGATTATAAAATTTTTTTAAATTTCAGGTAGCTGGTCGTATAAAGGGAGATAAAGTGACATTTGAATCTACATTTGGAGCATTGCACACAAATTCAAAATTATCAGCTCGAAGTGTTGTTCTTAAAGCTCCGCATATTTTCATCAAACCTGAGGCTTTGTATTCATGCTCAAAATTACGGGTAACTTTTTAACGCAACTTTGTTTTTAATGAAAATATATAACTTACATTTCTTTAATTAACTTTAATAGTAATTTTTTATAAAACTTTCAACTCACTTTTAGAAGATAACCACTAAGTTTATCCCATAACTTTATTATATTGTAAAATTTTGGTCCCAAAAATTTTCGCAAATTTTAGAAAACTGCAAAAGATATTAAAATATAAACATAAGTTTTCTAAATTATAATAAAATATCAAGCTTTTTTGTTAGATGTTTTCACGTCGTGTTCAAATTGATGGTCGAATCTGCGGTTTAGAAAATGATCCACTGAAATTATCAGTAGATATTGATTCGTCTTTATTACACATTGGAATCGATGGCAGTATCGGAACTTCACGATCATCTGCTGAGAAATCTGTAATTTCTGATATCAGTCTTTAAATAATTAAAAAGTTAACAATAGTAGAAAAGCAAAATCTTCAGTACTACGGAAAAAAGAATTAAAATATATTTGCCAAAAAAATATTTTTAAAAAAATGAAAAAGATTAATTAATAAAAGTAAAATGAAATAATTATGAAGGACTCTCTGTCCAAAACAAGCACAAAAAGCACTTTACAATTTTATTTAGATCAAAAAAATTTTTCAAATAAAATTATTATCACTATGAAAGACTATAAAATAAAAAATATCTTTTTTGTTTTTTTAATAAAAAAGAAAAAACTATGTAACTATGAAATTTTTTGTATTTTCTATTTAAAAAATCATAAATAAAATTTTACAAACTATATTTTAAAAAAAATTGAGCAAAATTATTGTATAATCAGCTAAGCGAAATTATTGTATAATTTTGTAAGAATTTTAAATCCACCAAATTTTTGCTCTTTTTTGAGAGCACAGAAAGTGCAGTGAGTGTGCTCAATTTTCGATTAAGCGGTTGCTTAGCCAATTTTGGTCAAATTATCTCACAAAAACAAATGGAATTTTGTGTAGACGGTAGTATATTATCACTGCAAGATGGTCATATCGATAGTGCTTCAAGAGGGTATTTTATATTGCTTTTATTTATTTTAAATAATAAAGTTACTAATATTTTAATGCGTAATTCAATTAATTTAAATTTAAAAAAAAATTAGATAATAAATTTTTTATGGACTCTTTTAGTTTTTATTTTATGACAAAGTAATAAGATCATTTCTTATTTTTGTCATCAAGTCTGAACTTCATTCATTTTTATTGTTAACTATTATCAGCTATTATCAATAGCATAAATATAACTCTCAGAGATAGATCAAAATATACAGTGGTATTTTTTATTGATGATATCCGATATGGTATTAGTATTCTTAGTAATATCAATTCAAATATCAATCACACGAAAAATATATGCTACATTTACAGAAGTAACTAATATTGTGTTCCATATATTTAAAAACATCAATAATATCTTATTCTGTTAAAACCTAACTTGAAATTAAAACTATAAAGGCATGACTAAGATAACACAAATATTGCAATTAGTATTAAGTTATGCACAATGTACGATATTTTGTTTTATGACGCTAAATATATAAATATTACGCAAAACATATAATAACTTTTTACGTGTACCATTCGTTTCCATTCTTGTTGAATAATGTTAGGTGCAAAATTTGTGGCAAATTAAAGTATTCTCCACAAAAAATATTTCAAATTTTGGTAAAAATATAATTAATGTCAAATAATTATAAATAAAAACTATTGAAATAACTGTATAAATCAGCTATTTTTTATCGAGTAATTAAAGCAAGACTTCTTTTGTTTCATCAACTGATTTAATATTAAATATAAATAAATCTTTATTTCCCACACAAATTACCAATTTGTAAATTACTATTAACGTTTGCATTATTGCAATTTTGGTTATTTTAATATGGTTGATTCTTTTGTAATTTCTTCACAGTGTCTAAATTCTATCCTTCTTTCATTAGTAATAATCCAGATTTACAGATTCACAGCTTTGAAACATATCAAAGGTATCAGTAGTGAAGTATCAGATTCTTTACCAACAAGCAGCACACTTAGTTCTGCAATACTATGCGAGAAACCTGAAGCAGTTGCACAACTTCTAGAAAACGGTGTGGATGTAAATGATTCTATCAAAGTTAGTTATTAATTTTTATCTAAATTTATCTTTTTAATGCTGTAAAAAGTTTTTATCAATGTGTACTTCTAAAAAATTAATTCAAATTTAATAACTTTAAAGGTAACAATTTTTTATCCCATATTGAGATTGAAATTTTATACAGGAAGGCAGTGCAGATGAAGATACTCCGAGAAGGATCGCTGCTCGAAAATATAAAGCAGTTAGTACAACAGAAAGCCGTAATAAAATGCGTGAGAAGATAACGCTGATTCAAGCGTTGATCAGTACGCATGAATGGAAACGTGGAATTATCACTTCGAACATTATCAATGCTAAAGTAAGCGAAACTGATAAAAGTACGAGTTTTAAAATTTTTTAAAAATATCTGCATTTTTAAATTTTGGTTTTCAACATTTGAGCATTTAAAAAATTATTAAAAATTGAAGAAAAAAGTTGTAGTGATTAAAAATGGTAATAATTTTACTTTTATTCATTGTGTTTTACTTATATCAGTTTGGCGAGTAATTGCAACTCTAAAAAACGATTTTCATTACTGATATTTTTTCCAGTACTGATCGAATCAAAATGGCTGAACTATTTTGATCTCTCATTAAAAGCATCATATATACAAAGTTTGAAAAATAATAAATTAAGATTCTGATCAACTTTTGATTTCATTTATTAAATTTTGTAACATAATCAATTATTTATCGAACAAAGACTAAACGTATATATGCAATATGAAAATATTGAAAAATCTCTGCTTTTATAATTGCTAAATTTTTTCAACACATGCATTTTTTATGATTTTTCTCGACTTGCTCACTTTTAGGATAAGTAAATCATGTAAATTTGCATACAAAGATTAAAATAGATATTGTTACATGCATATAAATGTGAAATATAAATCTTTTTGGCCTGAACTTGTGTAAGAAATGAATTTACTTTCGTGTTATAGGTTGGACAAAACTGTTCTGACTGTGCTCAGTTCCGAAGTACGAATTTAACTATGACAATTTATGGGAACGCAAAATGTGAAACGAAATCAATTTGGACTAGTGGTTCTGTTACAATGACCATTGGCCACGATATGATTATCGAAGGCTTGAAAATTTCATTGATTCAAATAATTCTAAACTTCAGCGAATTAGACGCTTGAAAGCATAACAAAACTAAGAATCGTAGTAGAATTTAATTTGTGCTTTTAAAAATGTAAATTAATCATAAATACTCTAAAATACTTTTTAGCTTCTATAAATTTAGGACAAATAAAGCATGCAAGTTTGGATGTATCTTGTGGAGGCAATATAATTGCTGCTGAAGAGTCTCTGATTAGTCAAGATCGATGGGTTAAGGTTAGTATTAAATTCATTTTCACTTTTGCAATTAGGTAATAATCTCAACAGTCATTTTTAATTTTCAACTTATTAATACATACTTTTGCAATTCAAAAGTTGTCTAAGCAAATCATTTTATTTTATTTTGGAGCATGCAAATGACTGCAAAGTAAGGTGATTTTTTAAAAGTTTATATTTAATTTTTATATAATGATATACTAAATATCGAATGATTTATTTCACTAATCAAAATAAGTTCAAAAATTATAATCAGTTCATTCACGTGCTTTGTTTAATTAAATTCAATAGTTTAATAATTTTTTGCAAGGAAATACAAAATTTTGAAAAAAAAAAATTTTAACATCTTAGATACATGCATCAGTACTCTGTGTTGCTGGATTTTGGTCAGTAGGCGAAGAATTCAGCATATACGTTAATTCAGCAACTTTTCTGGAAGAATCTCATATAGAAGTAGATTCCTTTGAAGGAACAGTTAATGAAAATTGTTATCATTCAGGTAAAATTGAAATTTGAAAAAATTTTGCTCATTGCATTTTGAAGCAACTTCGTGGGTGCAAATAGCAAAGTTGATAATTTTACAAATATTTTGTAAATAGTTCTAAGAATTAGGCAAGTCAGTAATATACACTTAAAAAATTCTTCAAAAAATAAAATTATTACAAGTTAAGCAAAACTAAAATCAAAAAATAGCTCATTTTTAAAAAGTTTGATAAAAGGAATTTAGACAATTAGTAAAATCGAAAGTTACTTATTAAATACAGTTCAAAAAAAAATTTTTTTTTAGGGTCTTGGCAAAGTCGATTTATATTACTTACAATTAAAGAGAATTTTTTCACGTTGCATACTGGAAAAGTGATTGTTCATGAGACAACAATCATTGAAGCAAAATCCTTCAATACCTGTGGCATATGGAATATCAAAGAGTCTATTAAAGTTACACTTAAAGGATCAGCTAATTTCTATCCTTCATCAAAATTTAGTGCCAATTTGTTGAAATTAATCGCAGAAGGTCAATGTACAATTGCTGGACATATATTTTTAGCAAATTTATCAGTTTATGTAAGAAATGATCTGATTACAACATTAGATGCACGAGTTATTATATCAACTAGTGCAACAATAGCTGCTGGCACTTTTAGAAATGATTCTTACTGGCAGTCAGATGGAAATTTGCATATGCATCTTGCATGCTTTGAGCAATCGGAAAATGCACTTATTTTTGTCAAAGATACTTTTACAATAGCAATATATGATTTATCAGAAGAACGATGTCAAGGACGTATTGTTGCTAATTATTTAATTATGAATTTAATGAAGAAAGTACGCCTTGATAGTTATATACGTGTGAATCAGATCGAAATTTCTCTACCATATGTAAATGAATCACAGCTAACCATTGCTGGACATTTAGAAGTACTCAAAGGACCAGTAATTATGAAAGGCAAAAGCATTTTGCAGAATTTAGAATACTCTTCAAATGAGATTGATTATGCAAATTTTTGCTATCCAGCATTTATTCTAAAAGGACAATTAAAAGCAGAAGCTGTTATAGCTCCGTTTCTGATTCTTCAATTTTCAACTGCTTCATATTGTTTTCTTTCTGGAATGGATTCTGTAGTACAAAAAGCTACATATCGAAGTCTTATATCATGTAGCTTATTACATACTGAACCAGCTTCATTAATTTCTTCTATTTCTGCTCAAGAAACACCACTTCCAGAAGGTATTTCATGTGCAACAACATGGCTTCATGAAGGTCAAGTACGATTTAATGCTGAAAAAGTATACATTATTTGCGATCAATTTATTAATCGAGGACGACTCACAAGTGATAATAAGCTACAAAATCATATGCATGAAATTATTGTACTAGTTGATAGTCTGTTTCAAAATGATGCGGTTTTTTCTGCTGATAAAATTGAAATTCGCGGAAATGGTGAAATGCACAATAGAAATCGTATTTTTGCAAATGATAGAATGGATATATGCTTAGCAAATTATACCAGCGAATATGGGCAAAGACAAGTAGAAAGTTTGCAACCAAAATTACTCTCTGCTGGTAAAGAAGAACGAAGTCGAACAAGGAATCGTGTAGAAAAGCGAAGTAATGTTTTGGTACCACAAGTAAATAATTTATTTGCATTAAATCAACAGATGAAAACGAATTTAATCCAATCACAAGTACTGATTGATAGTGATATTATTGATGAACGTAAGAAGATTGCATTTGTAGCACGTGATGGAATTTTATTGAATTCATCAATAATTGTTGATCAACTTGAATTTACTCTTGGAACTGCATACATTACTGAAATTGTTGTGAAGCACAAAATTCCAGTAAAAGTTAATCAACTGCATATTTCTGGAAATTGTAAATATTTAAGTTTGATAATTAATGGTGAATTATTCTGTAAATCAATGGTAATTGATTCAAGTATACGTCAGATTAAAATAATTGGAAATGGAGTATTTTCATGCGAGAAAACGTGTAATATTAAAGGAGAATCGGTTATATTAACAACACGAGATATCCGATTAAATGAATTAATGGCTTCTATGGTAACCATTACTTCTAACGGTATTCTCAATTTATCACCACCATTTGGTTCTGAATGCAAAACAGTGCTAATTAATTCAGATAGTTGCCAGTTACAAGGTAGAATACTTGTTGATCACAAAATAATCTTAAGAAGTGGTCTAGGAGCTTGTCTTATCAGTGGAGAAATTCTTGGAATGTGTAGAAGGAGCGAATTGTCATTAGAATGCGGTGAATTAATCATAACTGGAACAGTGACAAACTTAGATTTTTTTGAAAGTTATACCAAGACAAAAATGAAGCACTGCGAAACAGGATTAATTAAAAGTGTGAAAAATATAGTTCTTGAAGGTGAATACATTTCATTGAATGGCAAAATTATGCATTCAGAATCGGTAATTATTTCTGGAGACGAAGTAAATATTGAAGGAATTTTAAAAAGTTTAGACAATACAGAAGTTGTATATTCAGTATTTGCAAAGAAAATTGTATTTGATGGAAAAATTTATGGTCCCGCACGATTTGATTTAAATGGATATGAGATTAATTTTTCTGGAATTTCGAATAATTTAAAATCTTTGGATATTGATGCCAATTTGACTGTTATTACACCTCTTGAAATGTACTGTGAAAATTTTGATCTAATGGCATATTCAGCAATTTTAAGAGGTAATTTTAATGCAACAAATTTCCAAACAAATGCACAAACAACAATATTTTTGCAGTCTGATTTGACAGGCTGTAAAAAGTGCATGCTTGTTGCACCATTAATTCTTGCATTAAAATGTTCATTGCCAGATGAAATCAACATTTGCGCTTTGATTTCTATTTATGAGCAATCGCAATCGCAATCGCAATTATTATTACAGCCAGATAATAATTTTGCAGTATTTACTAATGAAAAATCTCGATTGCAAGCTAAATCTGAATGTAGTCAAGCACAAACTAAAGTATTCTCTGAATCTGAATTGTCATCTACGACTCATTCTTTGCAGCAACAAGATTTCATTCGAATCACTAATAATCAATTAGTTGTACAAAGTTTTATCAAAATTATTTTCTACTCTGATTCTAATCAGTATAAAAATGTATATCATAGAGAATTATTGAGAAAATGTATGAATGATATCAGTAAATGTTTTCAAAATGCATATACAACTTATGATGAATTACAAGAAGCTCTTGAAAAGGCTACAAATATGCAACCTATTACAATTTCACTTCTTACAACTGATCATCTTTATCAATTATTGTTGAATATACTTAGTGAGGTACACATTGACCACTCTGCTATGTGTAATTTACCTAAAATACTCAGTGTTTTATGCAATGCTACGAATATTGCTGACTACTCAAACGCAGCTAATATGATAGCAATCTACGAAATGCCTGACAATATAAAGTACGCTCGTTGAAATTAATATTGCGAACTTTGTATCTTATATTTCATTCATAAAAAACTTGAAAAAATTGGAAATTTATAGCAAATGTTTTTTCTAGATAAAAAAATAGAGATGTCATTAGTATTGCAATATATACAAATGGCATATCTTCAAATTGATTTTATTCTTGTTACTATTTTAGATTTGACGCACAAATTCTTCATGAAATGTCAAATCATTTTCGAATTCGATCGCGAAAATTTGTACCTCTTCCAAATGAATGTCGTTCCGTAGAAGATGACATTGGTTATGCAAGTCGTAGTTCAAGTGAAGAAATTGATGAAAAACAACGCAGTTTGAATGAAACGTATGATTCTACAATTCGTCTCACTTATTGTTTTTTCTTCATTCATTACACAAATTAATTAAACTAATTCAAATTATTTAAATACTTAAAATGCATCTGTTAGAATGTTGATCTCACCACTACACACTGTTTTCCTTTACAGTTATTCAGTAAATCTAAATGATGAATCACAAATGTTAATGTCAAAAGTGATTAGTGAAGATGACTGCATGGATAACGGAACAATCACGGATGATGACTTACCATCGGTACCAACTACCCAATTTGGTTCTAAAACTCAAATTAACTGGTAATTTACCAGCTGTAATTAAATCTTAACACTACTCTTAGATGCTTATCAAATTTATATCTACTACTGGACATTGACATTTTGCTCAATGATTTGTTTGCTTAATTTCCTTATTTCTTTCCACATATCAGTCTCCTTTTACTCTTTGAGTATTTCTAGCATTGCCTTCCTTATCTGCATGTATGAAACAATTCAAATACTACAAAATAATTATAATAAAGCTAAATAAAAAATCAAATGTGTCTAAATTTAAAAAAAATAAATTTTTACTAAGTAAAAAAGAAAACTTCTGAACAGTTATTTGACAAATTTGTAATTTCTATTTGCAGCAGTTCTGAAGTTTTAATAGACAATAATGGTGAACATACAGAGAGTAGCAGTAGTAATACAAGGTATGTTTTGAATGGTGATCGGCAAGTACCAATTGGTTACATCAATTTCGATCGCTTAGATGTTGTAATTACAAAGCCATCGGCGATTTCTCCTCGAAAAACTCATTCAAGAACTGATCTAGCATTCAAGAAGATACAGGTAGATACTACATTTCTACTACTATATCATCTTCAATATTATCACTAATTGCAATTATTACGATTTATTAATTACTAAGACTTGTTTTCATTTTATGATAAAATCTTTGTCAAAAGAAATCATCATTCCAAGTAAAAATTTGCTTGAAAACAAAACATATTTAATCGGAATTATTAATATCTGCATTTCAAAGTACAAAATTATAATTACTACGAATCATTAATTACTACTGATAAAGGAATTGCTTGTTGGAGCTAATTATGCAGTTATTTATTAATCTTAGTAGTAGCACACAAATTTGCATAGCCTTTTTATAACAGTGTGTATTGCGTGATAAATAATTAGTTTAACATCATTCTTATCATTATTTGGTGTTTGAAATCACAATTATTAATTTTCTAGTAAATAAAGATCGTGTAATTGAATGTATGACGTGTGATAGAATGTGTGATAAATAGCTTGAAATATATATGAGAGTTTTGAGAAGCTGAGCAAAAAATCAATACTTCACTCAAATAGCTTTTGACTGAAAGGGGGATGTTTTTTCAAAATGAACAAAGATGCATTTCTCATCCATTTTGTCATTCAAATGATTATTGACTGCTTGTCCGTCAGAACAGAGCATTTCGCTGCTCGTAAAAGTTTGTTACGTAATAAATCAAACGACTATTTCGTAACTCAAATAATAAATCAAACGACTATTTCGTAACTCAAATATATGCCATTAATGGGAGTGAATGCTAGTGGTGGTGTTTTGTAGTGGTAGAGTAAAGAACTATTCACTGATGCAAATAGAGTCTCTCTATTGATTATCTGTCATATTAATATCTTATCTTATAGCATCCATTTTATATTGTACTATATTTCTTCATGTGCAATTCTTATTTCAAATAGAAATAGTTAAGTAATAATTCATTTTTAAAGCAAATAGCAATTCAAATCCGTATTCATAATATTAGAATTTCCTCTGTAATTGCTGGAAATTTCAATTGAAATTCATTTGTAAAGTGTTAATTGAATTATAACTTGCACTACAATATTCATTTATTTACTTTAAGCAGATAATTCGAGAAATCGAGATCATTATTTATAAATTTGTAAGAAAATGTTACTAATCAGTGATATGATTTGAAGCTTGGTAAAGTTTCATTTGAGCACTTTCTTGCAAAATTTCACAGTTGATTTGATTTCAGATGAAAAGTATTCTGCCGAAATTGGAATTGCATTCATTTGATAGTGAGTCTTCACTTGCATCATTTGATGAGATCAGTACACCAAAATGGTATTCAACGCCACTAAAACGTTCTTTAATTCCACGTGCTGCAATATCGACTTCTTTCAATGCTGCAACAAAGTTACGTCTACTTCCTTCATGCAGTACACAACTTTAATAATTGTTGAAAATGTGTAATCTTAGAATGGTATTGTTCATAATGGTAATTCGCAACTTTAGAAAAATTTTTAGTCTCTCGGGAATACTTTTAATCTGCATTAATATTGAATATCAATATAAAATGGTGATTTTTTTAAAGTTTAAAATGTTTCATTGATAATATTTTTGTGAATTTAAATAGCTCCAGTTCTGAAGTACCGGGCGAAAAAAAAGAAACTTAGCACTTAGTCAAGTTTTTTGTGGAATAATGCCTGGAAGAATACTCGTTCATTTCGAGTCCATTATCTCCTTTTAAGAAACGGTATAGTAAACAAAAGGAAAATGGGTTTTTTGAATGATGTTTTAACATCATTTTAGCAATAAACTGCAATCTATTGCGATATGCAAGTGGCTTTAAGCAATCAAAGCACAATTTTAATGATATGATCCAGCAAATAATTGCATTTAGATTTCATTCTTTAGAGGAAACACATTTCTTAAAATTCGTAGTTTGCGTTTGTTATATATCCTTCCAATTAAATTTTTTAAAATATTTACTGTAACAACAAAAGAAATTGAGGGGAATAAAAGTCTGAGGTGTAGAAGAAAATAGATGCTTTATCACACTGCAATTGCCTTCAGCCCTTAAGAATTCTGTGGGTTGTTATTAAAGTCATTTTTTTATTGCAAACAAAATATTTTGCTAATTGATCAGGAAGTCATGTATTTAATTAACTGAAGGAAAGCTTAATTTTAGTTTTAAACTTGAATCGTAACATCTTTTTTCCTCATCGAAATGACTTGCATTTGTGCATACTACAATTATTTATTAAATCTCTTAATCATAAAGATTTCGTCCTATCTTAATTTTCTAGATTCAAGTATAGAACCTAAATAATAATTATTTTATTGCACATGAGTACATCGTTATGATTTTTACTGGCAATGAATATTTTGGAACGTTAGAGTTGAAAAATCTTTTACGATTTGTATTACAAAAGATGACTTCTTTTCTTAATTTTTTTCGTATTTGGAAGGTAGTTTAGGCGCGCTCTCACATTCATGATAAAAGCCAAAAATATTCATAAGTATTATTTGTTGAGTATATAAGTATTTTGCTTTTTTCATATTGTGAACAGAGCGTTTCGAAAATTTTGTGTATATCATTTTTGCATTAATTGTTATCACTGTATATTATTGTTATTCTACTGTTAGCACTTAACCAGTTGCTTTTTTATTGAACGGGTATGTTGTCATTGTAATTTTTATTTACTGATGAGTAAAGCAATAAAAACTGTATTTAATAAAAATTCGAAAAACGTATTTATCGAAGAATTGAGAATTTTTTGAAATAAAGGTTCAGATCATTTCAAAGCATAATTTATGCAGCAGAGCATTGATTTAATAACAGTTATTACTAGCAGTCTTTCTAGATCTTCAGAGATCTACAGAATTTATGCATATGTAATTTGCATTTAGTTTGAATAGATTTTCACAATAAAATAGTCTGCTTAAAGTCGGGTAGTTTTTTCATTTTACCTGTGAATTTTAACGATTGATATTTTGTATGCATGAAAAATAAATTTTCGATATCTGATATCTTAAAACATTACATTGGCTTTCTAAACTTGCAATATTTTATTTGCTGTGAAAGTGATTTAAGAGAACGAAAATTTTGCAGAAATTACGACGTTATTTCAATAATCCTACTGGACATTGTTTAGCCAGTAAATGAGTAGTGTTATTTATATTCTTATTAAAGTAATTAATACTAAAGACAATATTTTCGATGAATGATTACTTTTTAAATTATCCTTTCTAGCTAGAATAAGTTGATAGTCATGTTAAAGCTTTTAAATCATTTATAAGGATAAATCGAATATGAAATTTATTTATATGATAAATGCCGTCTACTAAAATGCTTTCAAGATTAAAAATTATGAAATTAAAATTGTTGAATCAAGATCTGTACGGACTGTACAAGAAATGTACAGATTTAGGGTTGGTAATACAGTTTAGAATTGCTACTGGGCAAGTTATTAGGATCAATAAATTTGCTTTCTATAAGGATTGAATTTATTTTATCTCATAAAATATTGCGTATGGATTATAGTAATACTGTCTAGTCATTAGGATATCTTTTTAAAACCATAAAATTACTGGAATATAAACATGATTAATTAATTCCAAATTTGTAGTTGGTAAGATAAATCGGATGATGGATTAATTAACGCTTTATTGTTCTAGCAGTTTTCTTTTTTATTTTTGATTGAAAAAGTAGGAAATGAAAAAATATAAATTGTATAAAATATGAAAAAAGAAGAAGGCTGCAACAAACAACACTTTCCATTTTTCAAATGGCTGATTAGTAGTGAAAAGAACAGTAATGCATTTTTTTGACTTCATCAGATTTAACATAACCAACTAACTATTCGTAAATAAAAAAGTAGATATATTAGCAGTAAATGCTCTCACTTTTTTCTACTACATTTTCTTATCAAAATATATCCTTTTTCTTTCATTCATCAAACGTAATTATTCTATTCTTTCATTAGTACTGTCTTTTCATACTGTAAATCTGATTATTGTATTTTAAAACTCACTCTTATCAATAAGAGAATAAAATATTTGAACACTATATTTTATAGATATTATTACTATAAAAAAGCACTTCGACTGATATATAGAAAAAATTTTGTTAGTTTCTGTAAAAACATTGATCCATATTTTAATTGAGTAATGTAAAGTAAAAAATTTTAATTGATATTAGAAAACGCTAGCTGTTATTACTGTAAAAATTTTTTTATAAAATATCAAAGAAATCTAAATATAGAAGACATTTTATTTTTAGTGGAATATTTATAGTAAAAGATATTCATGCAAATACGCATTAAATGAAAATAAAAGTTAATTAAATTACTACCAAATTTTGTCATGCATGCATTCAGAGAATCAAGCCTTTTACTCTTCATTTATCTTAGATTTTGCCTCAACTTTCCATGCTTAGTCTAATCTAATCTAATCTAATCTACTTTTGAACATTTTTTTGCTCTTGAAGAAATAGAATAAAGCTACGAATAAGAAATTAAGAAACTATCTTATTTAGTTTTCCTATGAAAATTGCTCCTTCGTTTTATCAAACCTTCTGCTCTTTTTATACTGTACCTTTTTTTGGCGGGCTTATCATAGCAACTGTTACTAATATTAAAAAACATTCATTTTTTGGCTTGAATCTTCTATTTATGAAAAATTTGCGAATTCGAAATGCGCTAGTTTTATATCACATTCTTTTATCATGATACATCATTATAAGGATTAATAAACGCAGCAATTCTTTTGCCTTATCATTTCAAATTTTATAAATAACATTTTTTCTAGTTTATTGTTCAAAAAATAAAGGAAAAATTGGTATATATTCGATGAATAACAAAATAATAAGCAGCCAAATTTTAGTGCTTAGATTAAGCTTATTTAGATTTAGTTCAAAAATTTAAAAAAAATCATGTCATATGTTACAAATGCGATAAATAGAAGATAGTTACTAATGCGATAATTAGAAAATACAATCACCTAAGCTGACAAATTATCAGAGAAATGCTTGAGTTTCAATTAGAATTATTGGTTGTCAGACAAATGTTTTAGAGTCATTGATGAAAAATAAGAATGTTTTGAGTGAAAAAAGTTTTTATTACTCAATTTTATTTCTTTTAAAGAATTTTATGCAAATTTTATAGCTGATTGACGTGAAAATGTCAAACTACAATTTGCATAAATTTATTTATTTTTATTTTTTGAAAATTTGAGTTCTTATTATTTGAAAGTTATTAATTTAATCAAGACAAAAATAGCACGAATTTGCATGCTTCATATTAGATTTGAAAAGTTAGCTTTTTAGCTGATTACTTCGTTTTCTTTTTATACTGAATCTTAAAAACATAAAAAAGTTGAAGTTTAAAAAAAAATGTGAGAATATAATGCAGCTACCATTGTATTAATAGTTTATTAAATAAGCCTGATATCTTATTTCTCAAATACTTTTCTGTGATTCTGTTCATGAGCTAAAGTTTGGAATTTCAGTATGATTTTTTTGAATTTACAAAATTTTAGTATTCATCTGCACATATATGTATTTCTTACCTGATATAGTGTTAGAGTACTGACTGATTTTTGTACTTTCAGTAGAAAAAATTATTCAAAAAAAAAAAATTCAAAAATATTTAAGATTAACTTCCAGCACCTATTACTATCATTTTTCTGAATCTTTTCGTTTATTTTTGATGACTACAAAAAAGTATTAAATACTTAAGTTAGATTTAATTTTTATTAATTATAGTTGATTTTTACAAAAATAGTAATAAACGAATACATTTTTTTAATTTACTATAAAGTAAATATTTAATTCGCCATTTTTTGGTATTATTTGCATTGTGTTATAGCTTTTTTCAGTTAGAATTTAAACACAAAAATGATTTTCTATTTTGGGACTTACACTGTCTTGAAATGGTAATTACTGTTATGTTCAAACAAATAAATAAACTTTTTTTGTAGTCATCAAAAATAAATGGAAAGATTTAGAAAAAATGATTGTTGTAATAAGTGCAGGAAGTTATTCATTAAAAGTCAGCTCTTGCTACAAATTTCAATAAATAAGTAGAGAATATTTATTTAGTAATATTAACAAGTATTATTATTTCCACATATTATTATCAACATTTTTTCTTAATCATAGTATTAGACTGAATAAGTTTTCCTAATTGTAGTTAAAATTTAGAAAAGTACTAATTATTTTTTTATCGACAATGATATTTTAAATTCAAAGGTCAGAATTTTACAGCAAATTCTACAAAATGTCAAAAAAATATAGATCAAAAAAAAACTAATCGGGTAGAAAAATTTGTATAATATTCAATATTATCATTTACAGAGCAATCATTTAAAAAGTAGTAATTATTAAAAAAATACTATCTATAATAACTGAATAAATATGTTTTCAGATAAAATTTTTGAGATTTTGGACAAAAAAAAGTTAAATCAAATTATGCATTTCAGGCAAATATTACTGAAAAACTGGAAATAAGAAACATTTGAAAAATTGCACAATAATAAATAAATATAAAATTATTTTTTAATTAAAAAAAATGAAATTATTCATATTTAATTGCAACTATTTATTTTTAAGCGCAGTGATTTCAGTATATGAAAATTGAATTGTCTGAGAAATAATATGCCTAAAAAGTAAAATATATACTCGTTGCAATAAAAGGATTCAGAAAGTTCAAGCAAGAAAAGTTGCGACGAACAATTTAATAATTTTTGGGTCAATTATTTATTTAATACCAAAACAATAATAGTTATAGTTAATAATACTAAAATTATAGTTTTGTTATTGTTTTGATTCGTTGAATTCGTTGTTGTTTTAATGTTTCACATGCATTGTTTTCTGAATCACACATTCTACATGCACAGTGTTACTTTAGATTCAAGGCTTGGACATAAGTGCAACTTCTCAGTTTTAAGTCTGAATTTATGCTGAAAGTCTTATTGCTATTTGCTATGTAAAATATGCATACTTTATTTTGTGCTATTCAAAATTCTTTTTTCAATGACTTGAAAGTGTTAATCTCAGTATTGCAATTTTGAAGTATAATAATCAATTAATAACTTTATTATGCTGCAATATATCTTAGTAAAATATTCTTAATAATCTGCTCAACTTTCAGTTTATTTTTTTTAAATTGTATTTTTGTAACAAAAATAACTTTTTGAGGACTTAATTTGCTGGTAATTTGTTATTAAAATGCTTTTCCAATTGAAAATACTGTAACAAAAAGTATTAAAAATTTTTAAGAACTTTGCACATTTCAGTTGTATAAAGAAATTCTAAAAATGCTAATAAAAATTGAAATTAACTGAAATAATTAACTATTGTATAAATTAATCTACAGTTATTATACAATAAAAATGTGCAGATTTTGGAAAATTTTTTGTTAGCAAACTAAACTAGTTAAATTTCTGACAATCTAAATTTAAACAGATCAGACTTTTAAAAATTAATAGTTTCTTGTTAATTAAACGAGTAATTCAATTAATTATAGTTATTAATTTGACCAAATTTTGAATTGATAAGTTTCATTTATGATTTCAAAAATTTTTGAAAAATTGTTCATATTTATTAATACAAAATTATGATAAAATAATTACTTTCGCTAATTCTATTTCGGTATTAACTGTGGTAAAATATGTATTAATCAAATTTATGAACAACTGTTGCAGCAATTAGTACTTAACAATTAAATCTACCTGTTATAAAATATAAACGTAAAAATTTACCAAATTTTAACAAAAATGTTTGGTTTAAATGTCTTGTTAGCCAGAACAGAACATGAGCACAAGTTGTACAAAGATGATGCTGACTGATTAGTTTGGTTTTACTTATATTTGATAACATTTTAGCTTTACGTGCATTGAATAATAATTTAATTTTAAAAGGAATAAAAAGTTTTTATGATTATTTAAAAAATTTTGTAAACATATAAATATGAAATATTATGCAAATTTAAAAATAATACGATAAGGCGGTTACCAATTGGAATACTTTTTATGCATTAAAAAAACGTAGTGCATTAAATTATTTATATTAATATTTTTCACTTGTGCCTATGACTTAAAACTATCACTAAAATTTTTGTAATTATTGCTGAAATAAGTTTTCATCACTTATCAAAATTTGCTCATTTCAAAGAATTTATAAATGATTATTTAAAATAAATAATTTTATTAAGTAAGAAAATTAGCTTTTTGGTCGTTTGGGGTGCTAATTTTTTAATTACAAAAGTTTGTAACAAAAATTTTACAACAAAAAAAATAATTTAGAAAAGTACTCTCGAGAAATTTTTATTTTGAACTGTAGTTTTAAAATAAATTTGAAAATTTAAATATTTTTACTTTTTAATTTAGCAACTTTAAAAAAAAATATCTGAAATCGACTCAGAAAAGTGATGTTAATAATTCAAAAGAGATTTTGAGAATTAATTGACTTTTTTAAAATTTTAAATACTTTCAATCAGTTACTTTAATCATAATTATCAAAATATATCAGTCTGATAATTACGTATAGTAAATAATTTAGAGTAATGTATCTATTCAATCCTCTCAAAATGTCTCAACCTCAAGTTTTGTAGCTTTTTAATTTGACTGAGTACAATTATGCTCGTAACTCAATTAATTATTTTTCTTCCAAAAAACTTCTAATACTTTTGGAGCTAAGTAATTTAATTGAGGTGAATGAAACGCTTTTTACTCATTATTTCGCTGACAATTTATATTCAAATGTAATTAAGCAAATTAGATATGCTTTCAAAACATGAAAATTTATTCACGCACACTGCTCACTCTTCATAGCTCAAAACTAATTCATGATGTTTTAAACTGTAATGAAAAAACTAGTTTCCATTTTTAAAATTTTCTCTATAATCACTTGTATTTCATTTTAAAAAACTTAAATCTAATCACACTTTAAAATATTATTGTAGTATTATTTTTCAACTAAACATGAAAATTACATCTAAATATCATGCACTAAAGTTATTTTACCTAAAAATAATAAATTAAATACCTAAAATTATAGATTAAATACCCAAAATTATAATTTAAATACCTAAAATCATAAATTTCTAAGAGCCATATAGTTAAATTAATACGTATTACAATTTTTTTGGATTATTTTATTATTTCGTTTTTTGTTTATTGTTTGTTCAATACTGCGTTATGTTTATTATTTGCATGTGCAAAAGATTTTATTAATAAACTTAACATGTCTTTATCATAATTTTTTGTTAAAATATTTGCAGAACTTAATGTAAGGCCAGCTTGATATTCTTGAGAAATGTAATATTTTGTAAAAATGAATTTAAAAATATATATGAAAGTGAAAAATAACATGGCATTAAAATTGAAGAAGTGTTATATTACCGATAAAATTATTAATCATTTGTGTTACAGTAATAAATTAACTGCGCATAATAATTCATAACAATATGTATTCAAAGTGATTCGTAGTATAACTTATTGTTTTTAGATTTTCTGAAGTATAATTTATTCAACATTTTAATTTTTTATTCATTCATTTTTGAATATTCATCAATGCGCAGTTTTTATTTTGATATCAATTTTGATAATGCATACAAATCGTAGATATTTCATCGTTTTGCTCAGCTCTACGTTCATTTATTATTCCATGTGAACAAGAAGTAATGCAATATTTCTGATTAAAATTTGTATGATATGATTCCACCTGAGTACACGAATTTCAACTAATGATTAGATAGATGCTTTTAACACAACCTTTAAACTGTAAGCAAAAAACAATCCTGCGCAAAATAGCTGCTTATTTTTTAGGCGATGTTGTAGTCCAAAAAATTATAAGCTTAAAAATGTGTCTGATTAAAAATCACTTGTTCAAATCAGATTAGATTAGTCAGGAGGTCAAATTGCAGCTTACTTTATTCAGATTCTATTTAACTGAAAAATCTTTTTTCAAGCATGCAAATATGTAGACTGGAAAGAAAAAAGAAAGAGAACTCTAAAAATTTGAAAAAATAATTATCTAATTTTACTTGCAGTGCAAGTTTAGCAGTTTGAGTCTTGTACACATCTTTTTTTATTCTTTCAAACTTTTAAATGCTATTCTAAGCCCTTTGACCTTCCTAGTTCTCATACTTATACTTTCATACAGACTGCCATTGATGTGAACAAAGTTATTTATCAAATTGACTGCTCTTTACTTCCTTTGCAATTACTTTTTCTTCTTATTCAATTTAGTACTGTGTAAGTAGCAGAAGTGTCACCCCTAAAGGTTGTGTCCATTATTCAAACGCTATACTATTCTTTTATCAGTACTATCCCAATATGCTAATTATCAAATTTGTATCTGTCTGTCTATTTTAAATATTCAATTACTTACATCGCAATTGTATTTTTCATTACTTTCAGACAGCACTAACTTTACTTAAATTCAATGACAGTAAGCTAAGCTAAACTAACTTCACCATATCAATATTGATAGAGCATCTATTCGTTTGCTTCAATGGTTTTTTTATTATAGGAGCATTAATGGAGAAGACAAGATAAATGATCTGTATTGTTGTTGCTTCATGTCGAGAATAAGCACTAATGTTACATCATCTGGAGATGATTATTTGGATGCTAATTTTGAATCTACTGACCGGTTACCTACAGAAATTGTATTGTATTTTTTTATAAAACTACAGTAATATCGAGTTTTGTACATTTATACAATTACTATTAATTTTTGTATAATTATACAGCTGCTATCAGTTTTATAGAATAATCAAGTTTTGGCCAACCGTAGAATTATACAATTATTATTAATTTTTGAGTACTGATAATTATTGAATTATTTGTTACTGCAAAAACATTTTTGCCTGCTCTGAGTAACTAAAAATTGTCTATCAGTAATTAATTTTTTCAGTATTTAAGACTGATAAAATCTCAAAAAATTTACACATGACAAAACGTATTTTTCAAGTACAATTTAAAAAACTTAGGTAGACAAATAAATTTTTTTGTAATATTGTATAAAATACAGCATTTAATCATGTAATATGAAAATTTATCCAAGTAAAATAAAATTTTAGGGCTGTGAGAATACAGGTATTTACATCTGCACAATAAATTTTTATTGAAATATTGCTAAAAATTATATGATTTATGATTGAAATAGTACAGTTAATTAAAAATATTACAAAGATTTTGAATGCGCAGATATTAGTGTCAATTTCTGTGAATTTTATTCATAGCATTTGTATTATTTTATAAGAATTAGCAGTAATTGCAAGCAGAGTTTTTTGCAATAATCTTCTAAGATTTTCAGCTTTGTTTAAAAACTGTTTGCTTAAGATTTATGATTGGATTTATGACAAATCAATGATTATACTGAGATGTTTTTTATTAAATGAAAATAAAAAATGATCTGCTGGTTGATCGATTAATTTTATTAAAACTATAAAATTTACAAAAATAATTTGACAAAATCGAAATTCAGCAGCAATAAAAGTTAAATTTATGTAATTAATATAATTTATTGCAGTTAGAAATAGTAATCTATTTATTATGCTTTGCAATTGGTGGTCCATTAAATGTGATCTGCTTTGGACGATCATTTCGAATGTACGAAAAGAATAGAAAGTATCAAAATCATATACTTCTTCTCAGACTACATTTGAATATCGCGGATTTATTAACAATTTTTATTTATACTCCAACACAAATTATTTGGATGGCAACTTTTCAGGTTTCTGAATACTTTTTTTTCACTTTCATTTTTGAAATTTGCAAAAAATTTCAATTTTGGGATGAATTTTGAAATTTTAAAATAGTGCAAAATTTAATACTACAAGTTTATTTTTTATTAACTTTTTGTGTGTTATTTTTGGGGCAATTTTTTGGCAGATGTTTTTGTACAATTAGCTAAGTAAAAAGAAAGCTAAATGACAATTAAATATATGTTGAGAATACAGTAAAATATGTTAAGTATACAGTTAAACTTATGTAAATATATGCATTATTTATACATTATTTTTAATGTATTAATTTATTTGCAATTTTTGATTTATTATGAATCCTTAAGTAAATATTGACTTAAAATATTCTGAAGCAAGTTTCAATATTTCTATATTTTCAAGTAAATTATTTTTACTCGTTCTGTTTTTTAAATTTTTGTTTATAGTACGGTGTTATATAGAGCATTGTAATGACCATAGAAAATAATGATAATGACAATAATAATAATAAATAATAACAATAATAATAATAAATAATAATAATAATAATGATAATACGATGAAATTCAAAGGCAATTTATTCTGTCAGTAAATTGAAAATGTTTGTTTTCAAGTGGTATGGTGGTGATGTGCTATGTCGTATATGCAAATTTTTCCATACATTCAATTTTTATTTAAATTCATTTGTCATTGCTGTGATGGCAATTGATCGAGCACAAGGAACTTATCGAATTAAGTCAGTTTTGTTCAATCCAAAGTATGAGTGAATACGATATTTCGCCCTCTATGCATTTAAAAAAATTTTACTACAAAATTTTGTACTGAACTTTTAATTTAAAAATTTAAAATTTTTTAAGCAAAAAAATAGATTGCTTACAAAATTGTTAGTTAAAATTTTGAAAAAATCAAAATTATATTTACAAGTTATTTGAATCTAATCTTTTGATAAATTAGAGTACCAGGAAATCCCTTTTGTCTTTTAATAATTTACAGTTTTTAAATGATACAAAAATACTTGCCAACAAAGTTTATTTTTGAGCCATTTTATTCAGTGCCCACATTTTTTCTGCTTAGGCAAAATTTAAATGATCAAAAATGCAGTCGACATTTTGAATATCCTATAGACATCCAAGTTCTTTGGGTGCAAGAATATATTTTTTGCTTTTTTCGAATTTTCCATTCAATAAAAACCATTTCAGTTATTTAAGTGTTGACATGCGCAAAGTTTTTTTTTATAAAAAAAAATCAGTGAATTTATAGTCAAAAATGTTTTTGTAATTTTTAAAATCTCGTTAATATTTATAAATTTAATAAAACTTTTTTAAGCAGAAAAATAAAAACTGAGAATTCAAAGCATCAATACATTTCCATGCAGAATTTTTATAATTAATTCTTGAAAACTTATTTTCAGTGATATAAAAGCATCAAAATTAGCATTCCGATGCGTTAAATATATGCTTGCATTTTCTTATATCGCTGCAACCATTTTTTCAATGCCACAAGTATTTATATTTCGTGTATTTCAACCAAATGAATCTGTTGAATTTCGGTACATCATTTAATTTTATCATTTCCAATTTAATTACTTACTTTTGATTTCTGACATAATTTAAAAAATTTGTTGCAAATATTAATACCTTAAATTTTTATAAATCACTCTGAAATGTTTATTTTGAAGACAGTGCACTCCAGTATGGACAATTTACGCTTATAAGTATGAACTTGAACTAAAAAGATCTCCAACACTGCAAGAACAACAGATTTTAGCTGCAGATTTTGACCGGGTCATTGCCTACAACAGCTTCAATCGAATTAGGAGTTTTTCCTCAAAAATAAATAAAAAATTTGAAATCTGCTGAAAACTAAGTTTTCTATGTTATATATGCTCCAAAACAAACTTTTGCTGCATAAGTTATAATTATTATAACTATATAAGTTAACTTATCATTAATTAGTTTAGTGAAGCAAGTTATAGTGAATATGAAAGTCAGATATTAGCACTCAAACTGATTTTTTATTTCTATAGATTAAATAATAAGTTTTACTAGACTAATTAAGTAATAATAAGTTTTGCTAAACTAATTAGTTATGCCATTGGCGATCGACTGCTCATTTATTTTTGACAAACTGCAGCAATAATCATATCCTCTATGTTACAAGTTAAAAGTTTACATAAAATAAAACTTTTTTACGAGGATTTTAAAAATACTTGATATCAAAAAAGAATTTAAAATCCAATTGGAATGCAAATAAATTAAAACATTAATAATTTATGCCGGAAAAATTATGGAAAAAATTAAAGATAGTACAAACTTTCAAAAAAGCCAATTGTAATAATAATTTATTAATAACAATAATAAATGAATAAATTTGGAATTAAGTGCGGGTGGAAGTTAAATAAAAAATAAATACTTAAATCCCTCAATAGAAATAATGTTTACCTGTAAAAATATATACTCTCAGGCGTTTTAAATTTTAGTTTATAACTTTCCATTAATTAAATTATTTTAATTTACTTTATAACTATTAATAAAACTTATTATTGGAAGTATTAATGTGATGAATAAGACAAGTTCTGCAGGTACTTCGCCTAGAAAAGATGTATAATATAACTCATTTATTGTTAATATTTTGGATTCCAACGGCAATTATTACATTTTCTTATATATTTGTAATTTATAAGCTCAATTCAATGAAACGCAAAAATCGACAAAATTGTACAGAAATACCATTTCCAATAGGTTATGTTATTCAAATTATTTTAAATTAATGTTTGTTTAGCAAATAAAATTATTAAAATTTTGAACAAAATTTGAAAAATAAAAATAAATTTTGCTTTTAATAAATATATGCAAATTTAAGCATAGAATTTGTAATTTTACACATATAATTTTTTTATAATTAAAAACAGTTTGCTACTAATTATTTAATAGTGCAGAAAATTGTGAGCACAAAATTGAACACAATACAAAATGAAGTTCACTGCGCAAAAATTTAAGTAATTTTGATGCTTCACCATTTTTTGCGAAAAAAAAAATTGATCTAATTAAGTAAATTATAAATAAATGGCCTAAAATCAGATTCTGAGTGATTAACTATCATTTGATTAACGATTCAGCAGAAAAATAAAAAGATCGTTCGAGACTGATAAGATGTTTCTGACTGTACGATCAGAGTAGATCAACTGAAATGCATAAAATATTTTATATAGTAAAGCAAAAATCAACTAGTCTTAGAGTTTTGATCGTTTTATTTTTCATGAATTATTAATTAAATTAAAATAAATGAGTAAAAAATTTGTGAAATATTCATGACTAAAATTATAAAAGTTTCATCTAAAAAATCAGCTTGATCATATTTTTTTGTTTCCTTGTGCTGAAGTTAATTAATAATTAAGTAGAAGGATAAAAATCTATCCATATAGTAAATTCTAGCGAAAATATTTTTTTTTCGAAGATTAAATGCATTTTCTATATGTGATGATGGACTGCCAGTATTCAATAATAAATTAATTCAAAATGTGCATATTATTAGTGAAACTTTTGAGGCGCAAATAATTTACAGTTGAAAGGATCTTATCAGCATTTGCTCATATCATTTCGTTTATATCAAGAATAACACGGAGTGATGATTCTGATTCTCACACGTAAGTTATTTTTTATGGTTACTTATAGAAATAAGCAGCAAGACAAGCTTTCAAAGTATACTGTAGTAATGAGATAATGGAAGATAATTTGAGAAATTAAAATGATTTTCTAGCAATGAAATGATTGCAGATTACTTCAAGTAAGTAGCATTTCTTTTGCATGGATTTGTAAATATATGCTGATAATATAAATTTTATCAAGTAAAATGATTCCTGATATAAGTTTATTGAGAAAATGTGCAATTATTAAGGAGAACAACAATGCGAGCAATGAAGTCGGAAAATGAATCCTGTACATTGGCCATTGGGAATGATTCAACGTTGGAAGCAGCGATAACTATCGGTCCACTTGCGTTGCAGACACTTAGCAAAGCTTCTAAAGTATTAATTTATATAAGTTAGACTAAAAGCTAGTACAGACGAAAACTTGAGATATTTTAGATATGCCGGCATATTTGAGGTTTTTATGCATTAGGCTGCAACTTCAGTCGTTTATGTCAATTACCTCTGAGATTCGTTTTTATTAATTTTCAGAAATCATTTGTTCAATAATGAAAGTTTTTGCAATAGATAATTTTATTTAATAAATAAGTGAAATTTTATAATTTGTAGAATAGATTAGCGGGAAATTATTTCTCACACAGTAAATTTATTTGCTATGATAGAATCATATAATTTCTATATTAGTTATATATAACATTTTGTAAATTTGCATAAAATGGATGAAAATTTATTCAAGCAAAGAAATCATGATGGTGGGAATAAATTTTAGATTGCAAAACGTCAAGCAGCAATGATTCTGATTGCTTACTTGGCACTTTGGTCTCCTTATAATATTCTAGCAATGATGAATACTTTAGCTATTCCATCAGAAAATCATGCAGTATTAATGGATACGTTACATTTTTTGAACGCGTTGATTGTCGTTAATCCCGTTGTGAACCCACTTATCTACGGCCTTTTCCAACGAAACTAATCAAATTTTATTCGCTTTTATCAAATAAAATTAATTTTCTCATTATAAGTGCTTTTCTATTGTTGACTTTAATATCACTTAAATACATTCAATCGCAAAATTTATTTTTATCAGTACAAATGACTTAAAACACACGTATGTAACCATATAAATACCAATTATTGACTTTAATATTTGATAAAAAATTTGACAAATATTCACGATTATGTTTGTTATTCAAATCAATGACAATAATGCACTGTATAATAGCTAGATCAATTCAAATATTATTTGGTATACAAATTTAGCCATGTTAAAATAATTTGCATATCAGAAGTGAAAATCTCAGAATTCACTATAATGAACAATTCGACTTTTGAACTTATACAGACTTCTTTTTGAACTTATACAAACTTCTGTAGCATTCATTATACCTCTGATATGAATCATAAGTAAAATATCATGCGTGCAAATTTGATTGTATTAATTTGCAAAAGAATGTTACAAAACTTTGATAAAATAAATAAATTTGGCATATTTTTTGCTTTTTCAAAATATGAAATTCCTTTACAAAAAAATATTTCAAATTTTAAATTTAAAAGTTTTTTCTGAAAGATAAATTTTTGAATGTTTAAAATAAAGTTTGATTGAAATATCTTTTTTGAATAAAGTTAAGATTAAATATTTGCAATGATTTATTTTCAACACATTTTTCTTCCTTTTTTAATTAAATATAATCGGAATGTTTTTCATACTTTAAATATTAAAACTGAATACAAACATTGGCTTTTTTATTTATTTTAATTACGTACAAATTATTAATGATAAGTATTAAAACCAATCAGAAAAATAAAAAACTTGGATATTTTACGTAATAAGTAATGTCTACATATTTTATTCACACAAAGCATAATAACTGCAATCATAAAATTAAAATTTTAAATTTTTTCAATATAATATTAAAAAACATATTTAATACCTCAAAGTTTTAATGTAAAACAAAGATTATTTTATAGTTTTACTTAAGTTTGAAGAAAAGTTATTACTAAAAATATTAGCAAACTTTTATTCTTTTAATTTAGGAATGATTTCAGGTAAAAATTATATTTTACAACCAAAATTACCTCACAACCATACTGATTTTAAATTAAATACCTTAATTTTTATTATGAAACATTTTACATTTAATAATATTGAGCACAACAAAATTTTGTTAACAACAAAATTATTTATCTTCCTTGCAATGATCGAATAATTTGAGGTATTTGTGAAAATAAGTTGCTAACTTTTGAATTTTCATCAGTTCTATCCGACTTATCACCATTCCATCCACCGCCAGTTAACTGTGATATACCATTAGAAATTAGATCCAGTATGAATTTAGTGCTAGAAGGATTAATAAATCGATTTGGTTGTACTGGTGGCATTGGTGATGTCAATAAGTGAGGTCGTGGAATTATTACTCGATTTTTAGGACCGATTATTTCTCGTATATTTTCATCAGTCCATGGTTTTAGTCTTATTGGTCGAGCTGTAGGTGCTACTAAAGGCCTTTCTGGTAACTGAGAAACTGGTAGTACTGTATGACGGGGTATTTTAGTTGTAGCTAAAAATGGTGCTACCACTGGTACTATTGATGACATTTTCTCGACAGCAACTGAAGTTTTTGATTGCCGTATAGGGAAAAATGGTTCCAATGATCCATCTCCTTACAAAAAAAAAGGTTAAAACATGATTATTCATTGAACTAAGAGATAAGATAATCTTCTGCTAAATTTAAGAATATGCAATAAATTCATTGAAATTACAAAATTTTAATCCATCAAAATAATCAAATTTTTGATATTGCACTTGTAAGTATTGGTCAAATGTTTGGTAATTTGCATAAATTTTTTTTTTTCGAATAAATGATATTATTAACCTTTGCAGACACGAGTACGTTCTTCACATTCTTTTACTGTATCAAACAAATTACTGTTAGTGTCAGCTGTTCGACAGCCTGGAAACCAAAATTGTTCACAACGTTCATTGTTTCTGCAAAATAAAAAAATTAAAATTATGATTACAAATTCGTTGAATAACATTTTAATGTAATTTCAGAAAAAAAAATGCTATGAGCTCTTAGATGCAAGTGCATATTTATAATAATTAATTGTTAAATGAGTCATTAGTTGTGAATAATTAATTAATTAAGTTGTGAACTATTAAGTTAATAATTAATACATGAATAATTAAAGCATCATCAAAAAAAAAATTCAACATCTTAATTCCCTGAAACTGTAACAAATTTTCAAATTTTTCATTCTTATAAAAATAATCATTACTAATTGTAGTCAAAACTGGATTTCATTCTTTATGTCTCACCTCAACTTTTTTATTTTCCTGCTTTTAATTTTACGATTATCCGAAGAAAATATATTTGTACGCATCAACTTTTGATTAAGGTGTAAACTTTTTACTTAATTAAACTTAGTTATTACCTGTTGTAAGCTACTTTAATTCGAAATCCACAAAATCTTCCTTGTGGCTGATCCATATTACAAATATCTGAATATTTGACTTTTGTTGTTGTTAAGATTAAAAGTTCATAATCATAATTATAAAAAATTGAGTTTCACATATTAATTTCTTATTAAATATTAATTATGAAATAAATAATGAAATATTAAGGAATTCTAAAAAAACAAAAATTTAAAAATTGATCAATTTATCGCTATGCAAAGCAATGACTACATAAAATTAAAATTGTTAAAATATTTTACTGATTATAATCACTGATAGAAGAAACAGAATGTAAGCAAAATACCTTCAGTGGAAATATACGATGTAGATAATGTTGAAGCTGATGATACTGACGATATTGTACTTGAAGGTACAGATGTAGTCGTAGAATATTCAGATTCTGCTGTAAGTGTAATTTCATTTTTGGTAAAATAATTTGTTGTCGAGAGAGGTTTATTAATCCGCAAATCCAAAGGTTTTCCATCGTTTGCAGCAAGTAAGCACTTCAAAAATTAATCCTTTTAAAATTATAATAAATTATCATAAAAAATTGATTTGGTTTTTAAAAAAGAAAGTAATCATATTACTACACTTTTTTAGAATTTCATGCGCTGTCAGTGGAACAAATTTTTCAGAATTAATCTAATAGCTTTTATTAAAATAATAATTCACTTTATTCTATTGCAAAAAGAAATGAAGTATGTAGAACTGGTTATAAATTCCAAAATTAGCTAACATTTAAAAAAAAAAAAGATTTGCTAATGATATTATTCCACATCAAAAGTTATTTTATTATGTAAATAATTATTTGTATGAGAGGTCACATTCTGTGGTATTCTTGCGCAAGTATTGCTAGTCTCGTCTTGATATCGAGACACAGGTCGCCGGCAAAGTTCAAGTGGAAAGTTACACGTAAATGGCTTGCAATCACGTAATGCAACTATTGACCAATTACCATCAGAAAGAAATTCTTCGCCTGTGCATTTTGTTTAAAATTTATCTAATTCAAAATAAAAATGATAATAAAAAGTATGCATATTTGTGTATTTTAAAACTGCGAAAAATTCATATTAATATGCCTATACATATTTAAACAATTAATACATCACGTCATGCACGAATATATGCAAATATATCCAAATTATGTTTTTCTATAAAAATATTCTAAATATAAAATCAATTTAAAACAAAAGCATGCGAAGATTCCTTAAACTTCTCATACATACACTGAAGAATAAATAATGTGTGTGTAGTTTAAAAAACTAAATACTAATAATACTTATATCGACCTCACTAGTATTCAAAAATGAGCCAAATTCTAGAATTATTCAAAATATTTGAATTGAAGCGTGAGAAAATTTATTTGAAACAAAACTAACATTCAACATATTCAAATAAGAATTCGAGAAGTGAATCAAGATTTTCTGGGAACTGAGATGCATATACATTCCTTATCAATATCGTTATCATTATTGTTGTAATCCACAGCATTGATATCATTGTTCTTATCATTGTCAATATCTTCCGGAAGTGATCATTATCAAAAATACCAGGAATAATTGATAAAATTATTGACTTTTTCCACCTATACAAAATGTTCTCAATTTACAAACAATGAATATTAATTAATAATTCTCGATAAGTGTTGATTTATTTGTGGGTTAGTTAATTGACAAAAAAGTAGACAAGTGGATAGGTAGTTTGAATAAAACTTTTTCAACGTATATATGAAGGTGTGTTTGTCTGTTTATGTGTCATAAAGTCTTCTTAAAGTATCCAATAAATTTTGTGGGTATGCGTGTGTGTCACAAAATCCTGTTTTATGTATCTAAACGTAAAGCATTCAAAGAATTGTATTATTACTTATAATCATCAAAACATTAGTTATTTTGTCTTTTATTGGGTAAATAATCTTATTTATAAGTGATTATAATAGATAAAGACTGCATAAAGCTATCCCCTTAGGTTTAATAAGCATTTTGTCAATCGCAAATATTCCATTATCAATAATAAATTAATTTTATTTAATTAAATAAATCATAACTAGTTATTATTGAATTTCAATTTTAACATTTGCATCACATATTTTATTCAAATTAATTTCTCTATTTAACTTTCTATCGAACAAGTTTGATTTTAATTATTTTTAAGTGACCCATTAATCTTTTGCTCAATTCATTTTCATTCAAAAAGTTTTCTAGTTGATAGTGATGAATTTCACAAGGATCACTTGGATAGATAAGTCTAAGGAAGAAGAAACTATTTAAACTGAATAAGACGCGCATCCACTATTAAAAAAATGTACTGTCTTTGACGTAATCAAGACATTAGAACTGTGACTATCGTGGACAATTGATAATTAATAACGATAATAATCAATATTAATAACAATAATAGTAATGATATTAATATTAATAATAATAATAATAATAATAATAATAATAACAAACCGACAGCTGCAACAAATGATGATAATAATCGCTAAAATGTTACATTTGAAAACATTTTGATGTTTATTTTTTGCAGCACATAATCCATCACTTCAATTTTTCGCTGGTATCAAATTTTTATATAATGAATGAATTTTTGAAGCCTTGCCTGAAATAACAAAGTCGAGCGAATTTTCGAAAATTAATTGGACAGTTTTTGTGCTATTTTCTGTGACCAATGTTAGCAATGATTTTTTTTTGCAATTATAATTTTTGACTCTTTCTTATTTAACAAATAATTTCAAAGACATCCTTCTACTCATTAATACTTGCCAGAAAATAGTTCATCTACTTCAACTTTCTCTCAGAGAAACAATTTTCCAGTTTGTAATCATTCACAAACCGGAAAGTATTCGTTTCCTAAAAGTTTAAATCACAAATCTTGATTTTTTTGAATATCTAATTTCGTTTGTAGCATAGTTTAACATTCGATTTAAAAGTTTATAGTTAACTATTAACTTTCTAAAATTATAAATGAACCAAGTACTGATTTATTCAGCGAATTTCAAAAAGTGTTGCAAAGTAAGAAGAATTAAAAATTTTTCATTTTGATTGCTAAAAAATACCAAAGTTACCATAACTTACCTTGCTTGTTACAATTATATGATTAAATAAACCGTTAATGACGGTTATCTGATTAAATACGATCATTGAAAAGAGTAAAAAATTGCATAATTCACAATATAATTTAAGTATTCAAATGAAGTATTTAAATATTCGTTACAAAATTTTTTCCCCTAGCTTATGAAAGTATTTGATAGATTTTATTTAAATAATAAATAAATCATGAATATTAAATATTGAATTTTGATACTATTTTATTTACATATTTTATGAATATAAAATTTTTCTCACTATTTCTGATTTATTTGCAAAAATGAAATTTATAGCCTTTATAAAAGTGGTATATTATTAGAGCGAAAAATGAGTAAACGAAAGTAAAAACTTTTCATTTGAAAAATTTTTGCTACTTCAATTCAACTATTCGTTATAGAATTTTTTAATCAATTCGAGTCTTACCAAATTTTTCAATAAATATTTTTATTTAAAGAATTTAAAACTTTATGAATCACAGTCATAGTTAGTTGCTTTATTTGCACTAAAAAAGCTTACTTATAAAAAAATTTGCAAATGTAAAACAGGTTATTGCCATAATAGTCGACGATTATACTTCAACTTATGAACAATTTTGCGCTTTCACACAAAGTCTTTTTATTTCTCAAATAATATGCCATTTGTTGTAGAACAATTTGTAAGCAGGTTTTTAAAGAAGATACTGTTCTGTTCTACACTTTATTATAATATACTTGGAAAAATTCCTTTAGAAATCAGAAATTGGTATATTAGAATATTCACTCCACAAATTTCACTGTCCAATATGAATTGCTTGTTGATGACCATCTGCAATACTCAGTAATACATGCAACAATTCATATATCATAAGTTTAATATGCTTCAAAAAATAATCTAAAATAAAAAATGCAATTTCTGTCCTATTAAACTCAAATTTAGCTAATAGAACAAGCATTTCAGGATCAGTAAGTCGTTCTATGCTTAATAAAACTTTCTATGCTATTTAATGACGATAATTCTTTACAATTTTAGATTTCAAAAGCAATTTAGATATGTTAAAATATATCTACTAGTAATACAACTTATCAAATATTTCCATCCTCTCACTTGCATAAATTTCTTTCTCAAACACACTGAATTATTAATTTATACATCACATCTCCCAACGATTGACGAAGTGTTTTCTCAAGCATCTGAAAAAATTCCTAAACTTTCGAACCAAAAATTTAATAAATTTCGCATTTATTTCATAGTTTCCTTATTTTAAAATTATAATATTATTTATCCAAGAAAGTGATGACAGTAAAAATGTACATCACGGCTTCATAAATTAATATATCTTTGTGAGATCTGATAAAATTACCTCTAAAATTAATACTTTAACAAACTTACCATTTCGATATATTAAATTTAAAATCTATTACTCTACACATAAATGTTTCAAAGAAATTAAAAACCAAATTTGTTAGAAATGATTTTTAAATAAAATTATAAACCTGTATAATCTATTGAACTATTTTTACTCACAGTCTAAGATTACTTTTTTACTTTTATTTACTCTTTTTTCTCAGTCATAAACTTGTTTTTTATTAATCGCAATTTGATTGTATCGTTTACTCCATAAACTCGTATTTGAATAATTACTTCATCTTATTACAACAAATATAGAAGAAGACAGGATTGTTTGAAAATTTGCAAGAAATATTTGTTGCAGAAAACTATTGAAAAATGAACCAATAAATTAAATCTTAGCAAATAAATGTTGAAACTTTAATGCGAAACTTAAATTAAGAGGTCTTACTTACTTTACTCTTACTTATTACTTTATGAGCTTTTAGTGGTACTTAAAAAATGAAACAAAATACTTGTGGTTTAATTAGAACAAAATTGTTTAAAATACAAAAGATAGCAAGCAGTAAGAAAGCACAAGCATTCTTAATCTGGCAAAAGCACCGAAATTATTTTATGTATACGTGTATATATGTCTCTTGCAGTGTTTACTAGTGATAAAAACTTTATCTTATCAAACATCGTGAAATTAAAGTCTTAATCCATCACATCTCTTCGAAAATCCCACTACAATACTTTCAATTCAGGTTAGAAAAGAGACTACGAGTCTTACAACGAATACAATTGCAGTTCGTTCTTATTATTTGGGGTCAATTAGCTAAAATATTCCGAGACTATTAGTCGAAAAAGAAAAAGGATTGTAAAATTAGAAGAAAGAGTGAAGAGAATCAAAGAATAAAAGTACTTTTTAATAACTTTAGTTAATTTTGAAAAATTTTTTGTATTTGATCAGATTAAAGCAATAATTTAAGATTATAAGCGGTAGAAATAATGAATCCAATTAAAAATAATGAAAAAATAAAAATTATTGCAAAGAAATAGAAACAATTAGATACAGCAATAACATTAGATGAATTGTGTCGAAAAAAAAGTTATAAGTGAGATTACTAACAAAGAAAAAAGTTCGCATTTGTGATAGTGACTTGTAGCATTTTGAGCTATGAACCTGGTGAAGTTCGTATTTAAAAATATGTCATATTATTTGTGTCATGCAGTTTCTGATTTTAATTAGTTATAGTGGGTTGGTTTCTTGACAGAAATTTAGTGGTTAAATGTAGAAGAATTCTTGTGTCATACAGATTCGGAATACTCAGTTGCAGTTGGGCCCAATTAGGAAATTTGTTTTTTAAATCTTCAAATTTTTGGTTAAGATTAGTGAAGTAAAGTAACGATTTTTTTACTCCGTATTTGTCGATTTATTTGAAAGAGTAAAGCTTTAGAGTTCATTTGAAATTATTTATCCAAGTACAGGAAGTTAGAAAATTGGGATAAAAGTTGTTTATTTTTTGGACGATTCAATTTTTATCTATTTTATCTTTTATCTTGCAAAATAGCAAAAGGTATCTAGTTTTCAAATGAATATTAATGAAGTTAATTTAGTTCGGTTAGTTCGTTTTTGACTTTATTGGAGTACTGTTTTGTTATAATTGTATTGAAGTGATAATGTGATTGAGTTTCTGATAGCTTTACTTTTGTCTTTTCCTAAATTTATTATTACGCATTAATTTTGTTTATAGGATCTCTTGTTAGGTTCATCAGAGTAATGGAGCATTTACAAGCTTTGATTGATCCAAGCAAACAGTTTGCCAAAGACTCGATTAGGTTGGTCAAGCGGTGTACAAAACCAGATCGGAAAGGTATGGTCTCGTTTACTTAGTTTTTTACTGTTATGATCTTCAGTTGTATATCGATTTACATAGAATTACAAATGGTCTTATTTTCGGTTATCTTTATTCTTTTTGGTGCATTTCCAATAAGTTACACATTAAAATTTTGTCTAGTATGAAAGCTTTTAAAAGTCATATTACTTAAATATATATATTTTTTGAAATATGGGGACTACTATTTCGTGATTCACAATAAATAAAGAAAAAATTGAGATTATTGACAAAAAAGATCGAAATACTATTTTGTTTTGACTATTAACTTGTTTATTTTCATAAATCCATTTTATTTTTGCTCCAGAATATCAAAAAATCGCTGTGGCGACAGCAGTTGGATTTGCCATTATGGGTTTCATTGGTTTCTTTGTTAAATTGATTCACATACCAATCAACAACATTATTGTTGGCGGATGAGTGATAAATGTGTACACTTTGATTTTAAATTATTTTCCTCTGATTTAGTATTAATGACAATCTGTGATTATCTTTACAAGTGCTTCATATCGTTTGCATTCTTGAATGTTTATTACTATTATATGTTTGTAATTACCCAAGTTTTTGTTGTGCAGTAGTAGACTTATGATCGTTAATGTTTCAGTGTTCACCTAATTCTCATATTTAAGTTGAATATTTAGTCTGGATTTTTTCAAATTTAGTATTTATAATCTAGACTATTTGAATAAATTGAGTTTCAAATTCTATGTAAGAATCGACGAATAATTTTGAGATGTTTTTCTTTTTTTTTCACTGTACGGTAAAGATAAAGTATCAGTTAGAGCCGAAGCTTACATTCTTTATTCTTATTCAGCAAGTGTACTGTTATCATAACATGGTTGACTTTGCAGAGTCACTTAGTTCATGATAATTTGTGACACAAATTCTCTCTACTTATTTACTCTAGAGGTGAAAAATCCGTATTCCGTTATACGACTATGTACAGTGTATATCATGAACCGTTGTGAAAAAATAGTTTGTAGTTGGATCAATAAGTTTTGAAGCAATTTAATGGTGTTCACTCTTTGTTGAAAGAGAAATTGCTTTTCTGTCATTATTTTGACCATTTGAAATGAATTTCTTAAATATTATGTGAAATATGAATTATCTCTGAAAGGCATTCGTGATAATGTTTCAGGTGTATGGGGAGGCCTGCTGTGATTTGCCTTTCTGGTAAGCGGAAGTGTGGCAAGGATTTTGTAGCAAATCTGATAGCTAAACGACTAGAAGGAATAGGTTGTCGTGTTATTGTATGTGGTGTAAGTCATCCCCTAAAAGAGGAATATGCAGAATTGAATGGTATTGATGGTGAACGATTGAAATCTGATTTACTATATAAGGAGATTTATCGTCGAGATATGATTATATGGAGTGAGAAGTTACGAGAGAATGATGCTGGTTATTTTTGTAGGTAAGCAAAGAGTAAATTCATAATCACAGAGTCATTTTGTTGATTTAATTCCACTGAGCAATTTATGTCGGAAAATTTTGCAAATTCATGATGTTAAGTGAATTTGAAAAAATAAAAGCGCTACTATTTGAGAAAAGTTTTGGCAAGGTGCGATTCATTTGACGTAATTATTGTACCTGATTGTCGACGGCTTTCTGATATTGAATTCTTTAAAGTAAACTGTGGTTCTCGCATACGGTTAGTTTTTTCTTATTCTGGGTGTTGTCACTACAGATTATTACTAATGTAAACTTTCAAGTTCTTGGAACATCACTGGACAGTTTTCTGCAAACTTTTTCGAGAATGTAGTTGAAATATTTTAGCAGTTTAATATACTAATTTGCGAATTTCTGCAGATTAGTGCGTATTGAATGTGCGTTACCGATTCGAAAAAAGCGTGGTTTTGAATTTATTGAAGGCATCGATGATCAAATAACAGAATGTGGTCTTGATGAGTATGATGGATGGGATATTATCATTAATAATGATATTCCAACTGTAAATGAAAGTCTACCTTCTACTTTAGAGACTTTCTTAACTCGACTTTCTTGTGAAATCATTAAAATGTTAGGTAACTAGTGGTTTATATTCATTCGAATAATATTTATGATGCTTTCTAGATTTCTAGTTCTGTACATACTAATGACAAATAAAAGACAACACTTTGTACTAAAAATATAAATTGATTTATGTTGAGATTGAATTATAAGATCGTATCATGGATTATTTAAAAATTGTATTATTTATATCAGGTATCAAATTTCAAAAAAATACGGAGATATTGAAACAAGTTTTTTAGTTGACTAAAAATTTGCAGTTAAATATTTTTATAAGAGATCCAATTGTCAAACGATAGGGATATGAAAGTAATAATTCGTCATGCTAAAATTTGCGTCAGAAATGAAGAATATTCATCAAGAGGACCATCGTTCTACTTTTTTATGACATTATACTCGAAAACAATTATTGGTGATATCCGTGTTTAGTTTTAATTATTTTGATCTAAAAAAAAAGACTTCGCAGCGTTTTTTAAAATCTTATGATTATAATCTTATTAATAACTTTGTAAGAGTAACTTTATGCAACCTGTTTAAAAAAAATACTTGTAAAAAAATTTGCAATTAAACCACTGTCATCATCGTTTTTTTGAACTAGAAGGGCAACTTTTCTTTGATTTATAAAAATTTTGATATATAACAAGGCAAATATTAGTAAAATTTAGAAAAGATTCAAAAAAATTCTATAGGATATAAGTATTGGCTAGAAATGGGTAGTCATAGTTGTTTTGCTTAGTTTTGTTTCACCAAATTCTTCAGCTAAAAGATAGATTGTTACTTCTGACTGATGTTTTAACATTGTTTTCTTTTGTTTTTTCATTTTTTTTTTTTGAAGAAATCGAAAAGAGATCTGAAGCACTGATAGCATAGTAAGAAGGGACTTCAAGCATTCATTCATTTATTTTTTTACATAAGAGTATTTCAGACTATTATTAACGTTATCATTATTTTACTATTATTATTGTCATCATATTTGATGCATACCACGTTGTTAACTATCACAATTTTTTATTTTCCATAATAATAAATATCTTTGTTAAGCACTTTATGAAAGCCTTTTCAGTATGTAAAATTTGAAGTACTTTTTTGCTTAATTTCTTTTTTTAGCCAAGTTTGTGCATCGATTATAACTAATATTTCAACTAACGAAGGCGTCCATAAATCGCTGCATTTATTCGTCTTTTTGGCTCAAGAAGCAAACTTTCTGATTTGGTGATGTCAAATGTCCCAATTTCAGGTTATTTTTTTCGATCTAAATTTTGTATTAAAACTTTACAATAGACTGTTTGAAGGCTAAGTTAGTGATTAAGTAGTTTTGAGGGAGAACTGAAAATAGAATTGGAATGTGTCGAAGATATTTGGCAAATTAAGTTGAACAAACGTATAAGTGCTTATTAATATAGTTTGACACTGATTTTGTTGTTTTCAATGATTCCTCTGGCTTTGTCAACCTTTATTTAGGTATACTTTCATAAAAAACAAAGTCTTGAAAGCGAAAGTATGTCTGTTTTTTAGTTTTCAATAGATTTATGCAGTTTCATTGTTATTTACTGTTTTGTGCTGTACTGAAAGATTTTGGTATTTACTGTAGGTTAATTTGATTTAATAACTTTGAAATAATCAAAATTGCGACGCTTTATTGAATGACACGTAGGAATTGTCGATAGAATCTAGTTAGATTTAAATGATCTAGTAGAAAGTAACTTTATATAAAACGCATAATGAAAGTCACAAAGTAATCATTTTCCCAGTTTTACAGTATATTAGATTCATGACTTCTTATTTAGTATATGTAGTTGATATTGAAATTTGATTTAACTTATTCTAAAATTAAAGGTAAATAAGGCAGAAATTAAATCTTGGTTATTGTTTTTGCATTTAAAAAATGATAAAATTTCGAGCGGAAATAGTAAAACTAATTTGAATCCTGTCAATGCTTTATATATTTCGAAAGTTGTAGAATGTAAGGTTCTAGAATTTTAATTATTATTTTAGTGAGATAAAAATAAACCCAGCTTTGTATTATGTTCTTTCAGCAGGTGTTGAGTAAATTTAGTGAAATTTTAAAATTTTAGAACCAGGATGAGCACTATGAAAAAATTGAAGTTGCAGTACTCATTTAGCGAATGTTAATTTAAGATGAAAATTTTTTATAGGCTGAGGACAAGAAATTTCTACTGCATTTAGCTTTTAAAAAATCTGTAAAAAGGATGGGATTATTCTCTTAATCCATAGATTTTCTTATTTTATACACTTGAAGAGATGGCGCTTGCAAATACGAATTGTTTTTTTGTTATTAAATAAACCCTTAAACATCTAATGTCTTGAGTTTATGCTATTCAACCAAGTATGTTTTGGATTAATTTGTCAGTTTAAAAAAAATGACTAATCGTGGAAAGATTTGGGAACTTGACAATCATATCTTTGATTGGATGAATAATGAGATCACATAGTTAGCTGGTGAGATTGTTTCATGATTATTTTACTTTTAAATCGGTCCCGAGAAAAGTTTCACAGTTCTTTGACTATAGGATGTTCATTTTGGTTGGGAACTGTAGAATGTTCTGGCTATTTAATTTATGGTTTATTAGAAAAATATGGCATCAAATGGGTTACTGAAAAAATAGTAAAAAACAACTGATATGAATTTCCCCTTAAGATGCTACAAGCTATATTTCGATTTACCAATCTTACCAACAAAAAAACTTTACGAAAGTTTAATTAACAATTGAGTTAATTTGGTAAAAGTCATGTAGGACGTGTAACTGTAGAGTAACTAAATTTCAGGAGCACATAATCCGTCACCATACCTTCGACGTTACCGACTGCCAACAGTTAATTCTAGCGCAACAGTAGCAGCCTATGAAGAATTACTAAGTCCTGTTGATAACTGCGCAAAATTAGCATATATTTCAGCGCTTAATTGCCAAAATAAGGTTGTAAGTAGGCAGAATCTCATAATTTTTCTTGAAAATATTTTTTGCTTAAATTCTCTAAAAGGAAAGGAAAGCTTAAGATACGTATCCCAGCTCGTTTTTAGCTTTCATACTATTGAATTCACACTTTTCTAAGCATTGATTTTGTATTTTCTTTAAAAAAATTGTTTGTTCCATTCTGAAAATTGCATTCGTTTGCTTAAATTTTTGCAATTTGTGACACTAATTTGCATCTCAATTCCTTGCATTTTCTTTGATTAATTCACAGCAGCACATGATTACTTTTATTTACATCAAAATTTTCCCTCAATTTTTTCATACTACAGGAAGTAAAATTTTTATAATCAAAACTGTGGCATTTTTGCTGAACACAATTGAGCAAGCTTTTTTCCTATTGAATTTTCCACTTGTTCTTCTCTAAACGTGTAAGTTTTTGTAATTTGCATTTTCAGACTTAATTTTTAGCAATTTTGCATTGCCAAACCAACATCACCCAATATGGACAATATGCCACCTCATAATGACCCTAATAAGCTTACCACCGATCAAGCAAAATCATTTTTGACCTCTGGAACTCTCTTCAAGTTAGTTGATTGAATTTAGATATTACATTGGGATCATTAGTTGTTTTTGTTTTGTCAGCAGTTTTAATAACGTGCTAATTATTTAATTGCTCAGTAACAGGAATAATGTACCATTTAAATAAAGGTTACAATATTTTATCACAAATAAAGAAAAAAATTTTTATTAATGAAGCCAAAAAAATTTTTTAATTTTTATACAATTAATATGAAGCAGTTGAAAACAGAAATAACATATTTCTGTTTTCATATTAGTATGCATTTATGCCATTATACCAGCTCTGTAATAATGATGCCGCATGCAAATTACTACTTGAAATTGAACTAATATATCAAAACAGAAAAAAAATCAAATTTTCAGTTAAAGTAGTATTACACGCAAGCACTCAAGAAAAAATCTTCTAGATCAATGACAAATTGCAAGATGGATTATTTATTTATTATTAGTATCATTTTTATTTTGATGTATTCAAAAAAATATTAAAAAATTTTGTTTTAGTATTTTTTCTTAAAAATAAATAACATGTAAAGGTATATGATAAATTATCACTTCTTGCTAGCAGTTAGATGTATCGAGAAATGCTGTATTTGAGAAAGTACCATCACAGTCAGTAATAAAAGGCTGCTACACATTACCAGTTTTAAAAAATTATCTTTATTCTGCTTATTAAAATTCCAAGTTACAAGTAAATGATTGAGTGTTACACCACCAGAAACGGTAATTACTGTAAATTATAGAAATTCGACTCCACTGGATCGAGGAAATCCATGGATATCATCCAATAAAAACTCTGCTATAGATTTCGAATTTCGATTTGTTGCTACAGAATTGAAAAAGAGAAGCGATGAGTACGATACAATTATGAGTGATTTAACATTTAATGAAGGAGCAATCATCAATGAAGCATCTGAGGAAAGTAATTAAATGTATACACATTGATTCATTAATTTATAATGCTTGGAAATGATCCATTAATACTTTCTTCGAGTAGTAAGTAAGTGATCGTTTATTCCTCAGCAGCTTTTAATAATTTTTTCCAACTTCACTTTTGTAACACAGGTATATTTACAAAGTTTTATTGCATGACAAACTGGAATTGTATAATTTTTTACTACTTTAGTAGTATGAGTAATGACAGTAATATTTTTTACAGTTTAAATCCGATGTTACAGATTTTTTTAAAAACTAATCAAATAAATGGTTGTAGTAATTACGAGAGTAATTTAACAAAAAACAATAAGTTCCACATTGTCATTAATAACGTTGCCCAATTATTTCTATTAATACTAACAATATTTTTTTCTATAATTTTCCACTTCGGCGGCAAAATGCTAAATGAAATGTTTTATGAATGAAAATGTGGAATATACTACTACTTTACAATTTTAATCTAATATTGTACAAAATGTACTTCAACGAAATGGAAAAGCAAAGCGATGTTGAGAATCATAAATTAATGGCAATATGTGAAAAAAAAATACTGAAAATAAACTATGTCTTTTTATTTGCATTTTAGATTCTAGCGTTTTGACAAATTATTTTTTAGTTATCAGTTGCAAGATAAACCAAATTGTTATGTTAGTAAAGGCAAACTGTAATTTTAGTTAGTAGTGCATAAACTTGACAATAATTCGAGGTTTTCCAGTATATCTCATTCAAAATTGCATGCTAAGGTTACGATTACAGTCGTTTATCATCAGCAAATATCTAAGTGCTAGCGTCGTTGCTGCGACCAGCAGAATATATTTTATTGTTTGGCTTACGAATTGCTGTTGAAAGAGGCTGAAATAGCGGTTTGCGAGATCTTACAGTAACCTGACTAGTTTTTACCGTAACTGCTGATGTTGGTGCAGTTGTGGTGGGACATACGCTGAATGGTTCTTCACAAGGACGCGATTCGTAACTTTTTCCACTACAACCGCTAGTCAAATATGAATCTTCGTAATGGCAAACTCTAGTTCTAATTTGCTTTCCACAGAAGCAACGCTGCCATTCAGTCCATCCTGACCAGTTGGACACTGAAAATAAAAGTTTTATAACTGACAGTAGCCATCATATTTATTTTCAAAATCGAAAGATTTTTCGAATTGTGCAGAAATGAATAAATATTTTTGAAGTTAAAATTTTAAATTTTTTGATTCAGTGACGTAAATTAAGTCATTTAAATTAAAGATAAATAAGCCGAACATGGAAACAGTTTTTAAGAAAGACAACTGCTAAGATCGGCATTTGCATGAACCCCAAAAATTAATACCGATCGCTTGCTCAATTTGCGAAAATAAATGACTGGAGAGGAGTTAGAGGTCACAACTCACATGATTTCTCGTTAATAGACAATAAAATCAGCCTTGACTGGTCAATTACTATCGGAGTTGTTGTTGATAGAGGTGATGAAGTTAAAGGTCCTTTCGGTACTAAATTTAGATTGATCGCTTTTTCATATGCATTCATCTTATTCCTCTCATCAGTTATTTCCTAAACACCTCAGATTCTAACTATACTGAGAAGAAACTTGAATAAATCGATTAATAAACGAAAAGAATTGGTATCCTTGCTTTGCAATATCTGTCGAAAAAATAGAATAAATTATGATAATATCGATGATTAATATATTCATGATATTTCGTTGAATATTTAGTACTACCTAAAGACATTACTATTACATTGAGTTACCTTCAAAGCGGGCATTTTTTTCAACTCTACCAATTCTGTTTTCATTTTAGAAACTTTTGCACTACGTGTTACCTAATGTTCTAAAAAATTTTAGATTCAATTAAACGAAAAAAGAAAGCAGTAAAAATTTTAAGTACTATTTAACCACATATTAATTCAAGTTACAAGTTACAGTTTGAAGGCAATATCAGGGATAAAAATCTTCGATTTTACTAGTTGAATTTATGATTCAGTAGTCTTAAATAATCGCGAAGATTATCAATTCAGTAGTTAGCTGGAAACATCATTACATATTACGTTTCGTTATGTAGCTAAGAGTCACAAAATTGATACCTGGGGATGGATTTCAGATAATGGTTTCGCAGTCGTACGATTCAAATTTTCTAAATTCTTCAGACCAAACTTGGATTGAATTTCTGATAGCACATCACTGCCGATTTTTGCATCAGGAAATTTATTTGGCTAAAAATCACAAACCTTAAAAATTTGAAAATTAAATGTACATAAAAGTTGCGAAAATATTACTGTTAAATTTGTAAAACTATATCAAAAAACGCCACAGAATTAAAAACGTGAACTACGTAGTAAAAGTTAAATAGTAGTAACATTATCACTTTAGATTAAAGGTTTTTTTCAAGGATATTTGTCAGTCAGATCAAGAAGACTAGAAGTGATGCAATAAATATTTGAAAACGTGAGTAAAGTTCAACTTTTATTACTACTAGGTCCGATCAAATAATAATTTCTTGACTGATTCATCTAAAATCTTAGTCACCTCATAAACACTAGGATTCTTATCATCTTTTTTGTCAACAGCATTGGAAATCTGCTCCAACAACATGGAAACTGCTTTCGCTGTATCTGGCTCTGTCTTATTCTTGTTAGACTAAATTCACTTTAATTACTTGACTTTATTTTATAAACTTACTCAAAAATATTCTTTGTTTAATAAAAAATATTTATCAGTTAACCATCAAAATTAACTGATTTTTCAATAATCAATAATGCATGTGATCTATCAAAAGCTTTTCGTAAAAACTAAAGGAAATAATACGTTGAATAGCAAAAAAAAGGGAGTTATATTCTTATAAGTATTACTAACACGTTCTACTTTTAATAGAATTCGGAGAAAAACAGGAAGAAGATCGAAAATTTTTAACAAGAGTTACTAGCTAATCACCTAGATCACAACTAATTCAATTCATGTGATCAGAATCATAATTATGTAGAGATAAAAAATAGTATTTTTCTGGTGGAAATAAGATAAATTATTCTTACCGCGCATAGCATACCTCTTTATGATTCTTAACTTCACCAGAGTGATGCACTCTTCGGTCTAATGCGTCAATTCGATGCATGAAAGTAGCTTCTTCAAGATCATGCTTGAAAGCAGCACCTTTCAGAGTAGTTTCTGGCGTTCCTTGAACTTCTCCTCTATTTGCAATTTCTTTCATGAATTTTTATTTTTGCAGTTACTTATATATTTCTCTTCATTTCCAGTACTGTATTTAATATTTTGCTAGCATAACTGACTGTTTATGTTCAATTTTAACTCTACGCCAAATATTATTGTTTAAAATTAAGTTTGAATTTGTTGCAATTCAGATATCACTAATGAATGATTTGTGCAAAAATTTGAAAAAATGTAAATGAGAACTCACAAGCGATCTTTATCAATTATTCGTTGTTGGTACTGTTCGTTGATATTTTTGATAGGAATATTACTGGTTTTCACGGCTTGCAAATTTAACAAGGTAATATTCGGAAAGTGCAGATCTTTTTGGGCTGTTCCATCATCAGTTAGCATGAATTCTTCCCACTGTAATGCTTTTGCTGTAGGTGCAAGCGATTTGTATATTATGTTTTCCGATGTTTTTGATATTCCTGATATTTCTGCAGTTCTCGACGTTGTTGCTGTTATGGTTGTAGTTGTGGTTGTAGCGGTAGTCGATGTTGTTGTTATGGCTGTTGTTGTCGGCGATGAGAATGATGATGATGATGATGGAACTGTAGGAAGTGATGCTTGCAAATTATTTAAAGCTGACATAGATGAGAAAGATGGCAATAAATGTGTTCCGTTTTCAGGAAGGATTATATTTTGGCCTGATGTTGCAGGTAATACTTGCAATGGTACCATCATTTTCGGTGCATTGGTAACAAGAAATGCAGTTGTAGTCGTAGTTGTATTAATATATGAAAGCCAAGAATCACTTGATGGTACTTGCACCGGAAATTTTTGTGGTTGTGGTGCATTATTTAAAAACAAATGGTTCTGTTTGGTTTCAATATGTTGCACTGAATTTTCGGAAGATATCTCGGAAGGAGTAAATGATGTGAAAGGATGTAACTGTAACGAATTATGCTCTTGCTGCATCATATTTCCTGCTGCAGATGAAGGAAAGAGTTGAATAGGATGCATTGAATGTCCCTGATGTTCTACGGATTTGTTTGATACTTGAAGAAACTGAAGTGTTTGATTGCTTAGATTTGCTGGAAATTGCAACTGCGATTGTACCGCTGGTGGTGACGGCAAAGGGAAAGCAGATTGAAAAGACGGTGTTTGTGATTCTGGAAGAGATGATGGATTTAGTTGAGTAACGACTTCTGCATGTAATGTAGGAAAACTAGGTACCGATGGTGATTCCATAGCGAATTTTGAAGAATCTGCTGTTGCAAGTATGGTTCCAGCCGAGTTCTTGATAGCTGTTCGTACTTCTGTCTCCGAATATTTCTCTACTGATTTCTTATCCAATGTTAAATTACTATCTGCATTCAATACTTCGCTTTGTTTTTGTTGTTGCTGTATTTCATATTGTTGATTTTGTTGACCAATATGTTGCTGTTGCTGCTGAAACTGCTGTTCTCGCTCTTTAATATATTGTTGTTGCTGTTGTTGTTGTTGTTGTTGTTGTTGTTGCTGCTGAAATTGCTGTTGTTGTTGCTTACTATATTGTTGTGGCAATTGCTGTTGTTGTTGTTGGCTATGTTGTTGTTGTTGTTGTAGGCTGTGTTGTTGATGTTGTTGGCTATGTTGTTGCTGCTGTTGTTGTTGCAACTGCAGTTGTTGTAGGCTATGTTGTTGATGTTCGCTATGTTGTTGTTGTTGCAATTGCTGTTGTTGTTGTTGTAGGCTATGTTGTTGATGTTCGCTATGTTGTTGTTGTTGTTGGCTATGTTGCTGTTGTTGTTGCAATTGCTGTTGTTGGCTGTGTTGTTGTTGTCGTTCGCTATGTTGTTGTTGTAGGCTGTGTTGTTGATGTTGTTGGCTATGTTGTTGCTGCTGTTGTTGTTGCAATTGCTGATTCCTGTCAATATTTTGTTGCTCCTGCATATGCTGCTGATGTTGTTCGACATCTAGCTTCTGCTGATTATTCTGTAGTTGCTGCAATTCTTGGTTATCTGAAATTTCATAAATCTCCATTTTGTTATACTTTTAGAACCTATTAATGAAAATAACATTTAAAAATGTTTATTTATTTGCATAATATTCAAAATTGATTAATTTTGAATAACTTTATTTACTGAATTTCGATACCGCTAATGTTATTATGGTCAGTTCAAATGAACTCAGGGCCTTACTGATTTGAGGTTGATGGGACAGTAGTTGTTGCTGTAGTGAAAATAACGGTGCGCTTTGCTGAACAATTTTCGATAATACTGGCGCTGAAAATTTATATGTATCAGCTAAATGCTATAAATACTATCAATAGTAACTTGCCAAGGTTCTTGCTCAACCACGGCCTAATCTCAATCTTTGAATTTTTTACTTCATTTTCCAATATATTTTACAGTAATATTTTGAAACGATACTTGCGTACCACTTTCAACGACAAAATTCTTTCAGAATTACAAAAAAAGAAATCTTTTCTGAATAGGCACGAAATAATATTGAAGAAGTTGAAGAGTTGATAGTTATAAGTCATTTGATTTTTTAGATTTAGAACTTCCAAACTTTGATTTTCATCAATTTTGGAGTTGCTAAATACTTTTATTTTCTATGTAAATGACAAAAAACGCCAATGAAATATTTGCTTCATACAGTAGCAGTTAAGAACAATTTTTCATTTTTAGAATAGTTACTGTAACATAGAATAAATGAATATTTTGAAAACTGATATACAGCGTCTTCAGAAAAAAATAAATATATGCATATTCAAATGGAACTATACTTGGTTCACGTCGATGAAACGGAAGCATTGGGTGGAAAGCTTTTTTCGAATCAAATGTTTTTTCGATATCGTAATTTTGAGAATATAGCTGTTTCATGGCTTCTCGTCTGTCTTCCTCCCATGGATCAACAATTTCATAATCATAATTACGTACAACACGCTGTATGGGCTTTAATTCACATTCCATAAATTCCTCAAAAACTCATTAATTTCATACTTGGCAAATAAATATATTAAAAAAATGAAAATATCACAAATATAAAATAGTCAAGTGTGAATAGAACAAAAATGTTATGATTTTTATAAGAAATGTGAAACTTACTTGCTTTTTGCCATAGCAGGAAAACCCTCGAACTGTATTACATGCACGAACACGTACACGTACATTGTTCACGCAAAATGACCACGCAGACCAAGGCGCCCATACAGAGCTAAATACTGCAAAGGAGAATTTTTAACTCAACATTTAGTCTTTAAGTGCAGTCAATTTCATAAAGAATTTAAAATTTAGTTTTCGATCTAAAATTAGTATTAATGGTTTTGAGAATGATTCATAATACCGAATCAACTAGATTATTAATGATACTAAATCAACAAATAACTTATTTGATTACTGGAATTAAAATCGGAAGTACAGTAACCATATAAAAGCCGTAAATATTTTCTTTTGTACAATTAACATAATAAAGCTCTCATACTTATATTTTCCACGCAAATGGTCTCATTTGAGCAAATACATTTTGATCTGAGTTATCCTTTTCGTAAGTAACAGTTTAATAATTCATAAACATATGTCTCATTTTAATAAAAAATTAGAAATGTTTTATAAAAAAGTGAAAGTTGCAAAAAATTAAAGAAAATGAATAAAATTTGAAATTAATAATCTTTTTGATGGTAGATATAACTCAAGTTAACACTTGCCAAGTGGACCATCGAATGGTTGCGGAGGACGTGGAGTAGCAAATCCAAGAAACTGATTCAACTTACCAGTACGTAAGCTAACAGGCAACTGCGTAACTTCATCACTCAACACTGAAACTTAACTTTGATCTGAAAATGACTTTCAAATTTTTCAAATGTTTTTTTGTTTTGCGATTAAAAATATTACAAATATCGAAATAAAGTTTTAATCATTTTTATGAGATTTTGGGAGCAAATTGTTATTGATAAATACAATAATTGCGCGAATTTCCATCCCGATCGCTAATTTAGTTAGTGTTTTTTACTTTTTAGAAATTTCATTTTTTTCTCATTTTACGATGAATCTTTATCTGTAATTCTTCCATTCACAAAATTTTTGAAAATTCTTAAACAAACTGTTGATCAAAATCTTCTTTGAATGTTTACTGTAAAAATCTTAATGAATAATAGACTACTGTTATTTTTTACAAAATATTTCAAGAAATCCGAAATATACAGAGGAATTTTTGAATTCTCGTTATCAAATGAGATAACAATTTCATTGAGAAGGTAATTCAGAAACTAAGAAAAAACTAATACGCATTGTAGTAAAGTGATATAGACTACCTTTTTACCATATCATAAAAATAATTTTAAAAATTTGTGTAGCCGATTTAGTACCAATAAGCAATAACATGAAAGAAAGCAAGTGATATGAAGCTTTTTATCATACAAAATCACAATATTTATCGTTTTACGAAAATTGGAGATTAATTGAAAAGAAAATTTTTGTAGCATAACAAATTACTGATCATACGAAGGTCAAATTTTTATAGATGATTAATACCAATTTTTTTAGTCTAAAATAATAATAAAACTATTCTATGTGCTATAGAAACTAGTTAGATCATAAATAGCGCTAGCCTGAATATTTGAACGTTTAATAACTAGCTTACAGTTTCTACCGCTTAATATTTGAATATAATATGAGAAAAAAAGAGAACCTCTGATATCAAAAGTTGATATAAACAGCAGTAATGCTAGCAAATGTTCAATAAATAGTGTCATTCGATGGAATGAACAATAATATGGAATATTTTGCTGAATCTGTAGTAATTCCACCTTCTGTAACATATTATAAAATTTGCAGAGCGAATAATCTTTATAGGATAAACAATGTATTCATTGCATACATGAATGTAAATCAACCGTTTTGTACAGTTTTGAAATGATACGGATTTAGTCAGATTAGGATTAGAACAGTTGAAAATGATATGATAATTACTGGAAAGTGTGTGATGATGATAAGAAGGGGAATAGATGACAAAAATGTTAAATTTAAAATGGTTTTACTTTAGGTATTGGACGGATCAGAGGAAGTTTAGAAAGACAATTGGGTCACTCACACTTCCAACAATTCCTTTAATGGGAAAAGAGAAGCAATTTGGCGTGAAATTTTCTGATTTTCATAGGGTAAAATATGATTTGTAAATATGGTGACAAAGATCTTGAAATCGATATACAAATAGATCAAGTACATGACTAATTAGTGGAATATTAAGGAGTTAGAAAATATCATATAATTTTAATAGTGATAGAAAATCAGATGACGATCAAGATCATGATAACAACAGTGATATGATAAATTTGATTCATTTTATCGTGTCAACTAAAATCTTAAACAAATAGTAATTGCGCATATAGCACAAACTAAACTTGTTCTACTCCATTTTGATGGTTAACATTTTTGTAAAATTTATTTTAACAAAAGGATAACTTTTCTCTCATTAAATTGTTCATTTTACATTTTCTTTTAAACTTTAAAAGATTGAAAGGAAAAAAGAGAAATATGTAATTATTTACTCTTTATAAGAACTTCTATTTCAAAGTCATAAATCATGCTATAACTTAATCAGTTTAGAAGTTTTTAAAGAATAGATATAGAATACATTACATCTATGAATTTAACGCTTACTTCACTTTCATTATTTTTCCATACACCAATTCCCAAATAAGATATTCTTCGTATGACTTTCACCTTTTGTCTTGCAAAGACATAAATCTGCCCTTTAACATTTTACTTTGGCAATTAATTCCTGAAAAAAACCATACTTCTTGAAGGGTATTCAAATAATCTTATGCACATAATAAGCTATTTTATCTTAGTGCATGAAACTCGTTTATCATAAAATTAAGTAAAAGAATGCTACCAAAAACTAGAACGGTTCATCTTCCCAAAAACTTCTACAATCAATCAAACTTTTTATGGTGGATGAATTGTCTTTATCTTGTTTGTGGATAAGTGAAGTTACAATTACTACTCCACAATGTTCCACTATTTTCTGTGTTGGAAAAATGTTTGTCGAGCAAAAAAATACTTGAGATAGTGCAGCAATGAAGAATTATTATTTTATTCCAAACAAAAATGACAATTATTTTTTTCTTGATCAACAAATTAACAAAACAATATGTCAGCAAATGAGAGAAGTTTCAATAAACTAAATAATTTAACCCGTTCATTTGTATATTTACTTTCAAATCAATGTTTTACAAATCTCGATGAAGACATCTGAAAAATATTTTTCCACACATCTTTGTCAAGACTTTTCGTCTCTGCCAAACTATGTACATATAATTTTTGTGCTGTTTTCTTCACTATAGCAAAATTAATTTTGAAGAAAGGATAATTCTATTTTCCATTAAATCACAGATAAAGTAAAGTAAAAACTGAATATCTAATAAATTTCTTAGCTACTTCATTTCCAAATCAATCTCAGGTTTTTTTATCTTCACAAGTAATAGTGAAATTTTTTTATCCCTCACATCTATTTTTGAAACTAAATTTGAAATTACGCCAAATGTTGGATCACAATTGGTTTTCTACGTTCCAATTTCTTTTCCTTCGAGGAAATTTTCGACTTCTTTTTTCAGACGACCGAATTCATCACTGTTATATTTCGTAACCCAGGTAAGTAGACGTTGTAATGATTCAAAGTCATTAGCTTTAGCTGCAAAAAAACAAAAGTCAATGACTTTTATTTGTAAAAACCGTTAATGTTATCAAAGCAGAGGCTTGAAAATCATAGTGAAATATATTTTATCTTTGACAATAAGAACAAAGAAATGAATCATTCAAAAACAATTAAAAAAAGTGTAATTGGGACATACTTGCCAATTCGAACCAAACATTTTTCACTACGTGAGTAACTTCCTGCAATTGTTTCACATCGGCTTTAAATTTTTTTTTTGAACGCACCTCGAATTTCTGCATACAACGAGGTTGCCAAATTGATAAAAGTGATATTAGAAAATTCTTGGGATTTGATACCTGAAATCTGTTTACTTAAAAAAATTTACTCTTTACAGCATCAAGCTCTTTTCCAAAATAATCATCATGACTGAGTAAAAATACATTTTGCTATATTACATTCATAATTGGCGAGGGAACTGTTGAATTTGTTTTTGAGAACTGACATCGCAAGCTCTTTTGTGAACGAGGAATATTAGTTTCCTCTAGTATAGAACTTGAGAAAACTGCAGCGAAAAGCTCGATATGAAATAAATTTTCCTGAAAGTTCCAATAACGATAAGGGCTATAAACAAACACATAGCCTGAAGTATTTCTAAATCTTTGGTTTTGTTTATGCTTAATGGAGAAACGAACTGATTGCTTTTTGTGAATTAAAACATACCGTGTCATATTTTAGACGGTAGAGAGATTGCTTATAATGGCGTCCAGAAATTTTCAGCTGAAATATAAAAACTTTTTAAATGTAATTTTTGAATGTGACATAACTGATATGCTTTGAAAATTACAATATTCAGTAAATGACAAACTCTTTTTAGAACTAGCTCAGCTTCACATATCATATTTTTTCTTATTAATTCGATAACCAGTTCAGCAAGACCATCGTAGAAGGCCCCAAATTCATCAAGTTTTCCCAAAATGTTTCCTACAAATGCTCTTTGTATATAAAAAAAATGAAAAACTCACTAAAAAATTTAAACGAACATATAAACTGAACAAAACACATCTTGTGCAGAGAGAAGTTTTTTTCTTTTTTGATAGAATTTTTTGAAAAAGTAATATTTATGATTAATTTACACAACATTAATATGAATTTCATCATGTAGAGTCATCTAATTATAAAATAACACAAATAGCAATTTATGAAATAAGGATTTCCAACAAACATTCTTCATGAGTCGCAGCTAACATAATAGTGCGAATGAAAAATTTGCATGAAAGTAAAGACTTCACTTACGAAGCCTTTTCTCTCGGAGAATGTCACTTAGATTATGTTCAGCTAGAGTATGGCGTATGAGAAGATGAGAACCAGAAATTCTACGATATTTTTGAGCATTTTTATACCACAAGTTGAAAGTTCGATCAAAACCATTACTGAAAGATTATACCACAAGTTGAAAGTTCGATCAAAACCATTACTGAAAGAAAAAGTTTACGAAGCTTCGTAGCTAAACAAACCTTTCCAAATGAGATTTAACGACAGCACACAAATAAGGTGAACTATCACGCAGAAGACCCAGATCTATCATTATGTCACAAAGTTCGTGAATTCGCGCCTTTTGATCTCTTTGAAAAGCATCAGTAAAGAGGTTTTCGGCAATAACTGAGGAATTTTTCCAGAATAAATCCGGAGCTGCAAAAATAACTTTCTCCAAATTTCATGTGCAGAGAAACAATACATGTCAGAAATATTTGCAGTCATTAAGAATAACCATTCTTATTATTAGCAAATGAAGAAGTTGAACAGAAATTGAATCAATCCTTATCTATTCAACTTCATGATTCTCATAGAACACTGCATTAATAACTTACAATTATCAAAAAATGAGTTTAATATTGAGATTACTTACTAATGCGCAATAAAAAGCATTAGTCTGTTGGATACGAAAATCGAAAACTGAAAAACATACGAGGCTTTGTCAGCAAGAGACCTCGATAATGATGAGCATAGTTTATTGCTGATTCTACACCCTCTTCATTTAAAATTCGCCTGATCAACTGTACAATGAGAGAACTGGGCAATACAACACGGCTACATGCTGATGCACTGCAACAAAATCTGGATTAAGACTACGTGTTATTTGCAAATTAGTACTTGAACTTATTTCAGTTAATTTTAAGAACAATCAAGAATTTTTCTAAGATTAGTTAAAAATAGTTTATAATTGTAAAAACGAACAAATTGTCCACAAGCCATATGCCCTCCCTAGCATCTTTTCCATGAGTGATAAAAAGTTCAAAAAGGTCTGCGATGAATGTTTTTAGACGACGGTGATACGGCCAGAGACATTCACTTAAAACTTTTTTAATGCCATTTAGATCCTGAAATCAGTTAAAAAATAATTTCAGCGAAGACCTAGGAATGTGGGGAGCAATTTCTGTGAATAAAGACAGCAGAGCAAGGAAGATCTTAATCTTAATGATTAGAAAATTACTGTCAAAAAATATTGAATACCTTTTCTGAAGTAAGTTGCTTTAGTTGCTCAACAGAAGCGATCTTCGTTTTCGCATTTATCGATCTATTCTCCCGATTAGGATGCTCGTGCACTTTTTCTTGACATGACACGGCTCCATTGCCGACAGTGGTAAAATGTGCCGTTGTTTTAAACGTCCGCCTTTGCAAATTTTCTGTAGTAGAACATACACTACTGGCAGCAGGTTGTATTTTTCGATTGTCAATGAGCTGACTTGTTTGAAACTGAAATCAAAAAAATTTTACTGAAGATATAAGTTACATTTTATTAGCGACCTTTTGAATGACAGCAACTGATATCTAAAACATCAGGTTTCACTTTGAATTTAATGATAGTGTGAACAAAACAGCTGATAGATTTTTATTACCGGAAACTAAAATTACCAATTTTGATGAGCTGTATTCAGTTCTGAATACTGATGCTAAACTAGGAGTTTTTTGATTTAAAAACTTTGAGCGTGGTCGAATACAACGTCTTTCCTACAATTAAAGATCAACGATGTTTTTTTTTTGTTGAACACAAAAGATCTTTTAACATAACGAAATAGAAGTAGCGCTGGAAAATAAAACATCTTTTAACTGATAAAATACATTTCAAAAAAACCTGCTATGAATATTTCCGCTTCATTTAAAAATTATTTAAAAGAAACCCTCAATGGCCTTTTCAGGCTCTCCTTTAACTTCATATTTAGTACGGTGTCATAAATATGCTTTTTGTTTGATGGCACTGCTGAAACGTTGTCTTCAGTCGGGAAGCTGTAATGCTGTGAACATTTATGCTTCCAAGAGTCAAAGAATAATACAAATAGACAAAATTATGGATAAATGTCGAATAGTGAAGTACGCGTACAAATTAAAGTAAATCAAACAATTGTGATAATTAACTGAAAAGAATATGACAAAAATAATAAAAACGACAACCTTGACAAAATCATTTTATATGCTTGTATAGGTAAATCATCCAGCACTTCTCGAACATTGTAACACCCAAATGTTTCAAAGAAAGATTTTAATGCAGAAATCACATCCTCTCTCGCTGAAATTTCTAGAGATGCACATTAGATAATAATTTTTAAAATATCGATGGCATGATACTTCAGTTGTATTCTCATTTAGTAATATATGCTAACTCTATGAATTGCCTGAAAGAAACTAAAATAAATCAAAAAATTTGGAAACTAACGTTCAGATCTCCTAACGACAGTGCTTTCTTCTGCTGCATTGAAATCCATATTCATCCTGAATGATGAAAGTACGATATACAACAGTGCAACTATCAAAATGCAATACAATAGAAAAATTAAATGTTTATATGAAAAACGTACAACAGTCACTCAAAACTCTTCAACAGTCGGCATAACTGACAATAACAATTGATGGTAAAGTGCAACGACTGTTTAGATATATAAAAACAAAGAAAATGATTGATATATCGAAACTGGTTACGAGCAAGTATAAATTAACATACTTTGGGGTTCCATGAGATAACTGATAATACCAATTCTCTCTGGACTGACAGACTGGAGTGTCAATGTTGAGTGATGAGGATGGACGTGAACAAACTGCTAGAATATTTTGAGTTTATTTGTCGTTTCATGAATGTAGTGCATTTTATATATCAGCAAACGAAAAATTTCTACAAAGATGAAAGAGTAAATAACTTACGGATCCCCAAAGTTGACTGCTGATAAATTGGCACGACCACTCGCAGGCAACTTTTACGCCCATGCAACAAACATCTGCAAACATTCGAAAAATTGCACCAGAAAACTATGACTGAACAATGGATAAAATCATATAAAAATCGTAAGATTATAAAGTTTAAATAATAATTCCATAATATGCATTACGTACCGACAGTATTTCCAACTGGAATAGTGCAACATTATAGTCATAGAACTAATACCGTCACATCACTTCTTGAAAAATAAAACAATTCACACGGAGAACCAACCATACCCAATGTGATAAATAACTATAAAAATATTGATAAAAACAAAATACATACTCTGAAAAATACCCAAGCTGTCAACTTAACTCCTTTACAAAGAAACGCCGTACCCTTACGACAAATTAATACCCGAGAAATTTATTTAAAATTCTGTTGGGAAAATTGAATGTACTTTGATCTCGAACAAATATTTCTAATCTAACATGTGAACAACAAAATAAAAAACTTTAATCCTTCACATAGGTTGCAATGAGAAAAATTATCCAAACTAAAAGTTAGGAGTTGTCATAACAAACGCAACTCACGATCAGATGAAACAGAAACAAAAAGATAAATCTCATCTCAAAAGTCAAGCTTTGTGCTGGGAGAAAACGAAAGCTTGGAGTTTATGTATATGAAGAACTGCTTTCCAAATTATTGAAGTATTTTGTGAATATTGCAGCACAGTATGAAGCATCTTCAAAAAATACCAAAATTTCACTAAGCATTAATTATTAACTGCACAGATTCAAAAAAATAACGACAATCAATCCCCAAAACAAAAACATCTTAACGTACATCATAATTTGAATGATGAAAGCAATCAATACTAAATTAATAAACAACATGCCACTAAATTATCAATAGTAATACAAGCTACGGAATATATCAATTTAGTTTTTTTTAATTGGAACAATTTCGCAACTCAAAAATTATAAACATCAAGCCGATAAAGCTCAGCACTCACATTTCACCTAATATCTGTCAGGAACCTCAGCACTCACATTTCACCTAATATCTGTCAGGAACTTTTTGTCAAATCATTTGAACTAGATATAAGGATTATGCTCTTTGCAAAAAAAAGATAGTAATGTTAAAAGACATTATCGTTTCAAATAACACGTCCAATGATCCTAAAAAGCTTAAAGATTATTGTATATTATAAGTCCACCGCACAAAAAAACAGTAGAGTCATTAGATAAATACGGCTAATATTCACTACTTTTATTAAAGTAGCGGTCTGAATTCACCTACGTAATCACAAAACTACACGATACACGAAATTATGCCGACAGTTGCAAACCACGCTTCTGGCGCAGCACGCGTGTGATATAAAGATAGAAGAAATCTGCGTACAAAACAGTTTGAACAACACCAGATATGACAGATATGGGATCGAAAAAGCCTTCTGCATAGTAACGATAAATCCAATTCAATATATATAGTGCGCTGAAAATTTTAACATTATTGAATTCTCAAAACAAAATTAAGGGGATTTAATTGCTTTACAAATCATGAAATTAACATTGAAATTAATATCAAAGTACAAACTGAGTAACAACACTAAATGACATGTATTAATGAAGAACAATTTTTTTTGATCAGAAAACTTGCATACCGATAAGATCCCAGAGCGAACAAATAATGTGCAGTAATCGTTTCAGCGCTTCCAGTACGAGAAAGCATAAAAAGTTGTGGCATAATGGCAACGGACTCCAAATAAATGGAGAAAGTCCATAAAATCTTTAAAAAATGATTATTATGATTACATAGAATGAAACTCTTATAAAACAGTTATTGTAACAATTTGAATTAAAAAAGTGCAAAGGCAAAAATAAAGACGAACTTCCATGACAGTAAAGTCGTGATTGATGAGCAAAGCTAATATTGCACAAGGAATCACCAAAAATTCAATACGAAATGTATCGTGATTTCGATCATAAGTTGCTTTGAATTTAAACCACATCAAATACAATGTTCCAAATGATGAGATTAAAAAGAAAATCTGCAACAGAAATAAAACAAACTTGATTAAATAAAAAAATTCTTGGGTCATTACATAAAACATCTCACTGATGGAATATAAAATGTTTTCGATTATAGATTTGTTTGAAGTTAGATGCAGGGACTTCAATAAGATGTAGAAATAAAAACGTAGTGCTACATCAGTGACGTGCTCTTAAACGTCTACACAACAACCGTCAAGTTATTTCAAAGCACTAGAATGTATTAAGTGAAAATAGCTGAATGACAACCTTCATAGCTGAATTGTAGATAGAAAGAAAATTAGTAAAAAGATCCAAATATCGAGAAGTATAAACAGCTGTAAATAAAAGTTGGGACCTCCCTGATATTCCCGCAACTGATCGTGTACTCCACATTTTAAATGCTAAAATATAGATGGCAACTAAATGTGCCAGGTCCGCGGCTAGCCGAAATATATTCATCTGAAATATGAAAAAGAAATGAGCTCTGAAATGATCCATATCAGAAATCGAAGTTCAGCACGACCACTTGATGACATGATAATTCATATGAGTAATTACTGAATAGATTACTGATCAAACTAGAGTAAAAAGTGATAAATGAAATATTTTAAACAGAAATAAAAATTATCTTTTCTCAACTTGAATATTTTTAACAACTTCGAATCATCTCCTAAAAAAAATCATTATAACGATTTTTTCGAACCCATTGGAGGTTTTTACACCTTGATATCAAATGACTGTAGCATGGAAAGTACTTATATATTTTGTTTAAGATCACGAGATCTATGTAATGGGAGGAATATCTTACTTTAACAGTTTCTTACTTCAGTACTTCGAAAATCCCAGTTCTGAGGATTCTGACTCTCGATACCATATGACTGCAGTACAAAAATTACATAATTTTATACATAATTCTAATCGTCATCGTGAGAACCATTGCTGGCTGTGCTCAAAAAACGCCTTATTTTAAAGATCAGTGACGTCAGAAATGCTTCTGACTTCAGTGTTTCGAGTGCCTGATCCCTAGATATTACGTAATAGGAACGTAAACAGAGAATAAAAATATAAGATCGAAATAGAAAAACATTAACTACTGTAACTATTTCATTATAAAAATAGCTTAAGCATGAAATATTTGAGCATTTAGATACCTTCTGTAACACTCTCAACTACTGAAAAATAACCCAAATCCAACAACAATAAATCCAGAAAAAAGCGAAACTGTAAAAAAATCTGTTAAAAAAATGCTCAGCAAGATTCTGCGAACTGCAACACACCAGTCCGAGGCTACTGGTATCGTTATGAAACTCTGCGCTCCCCCATCTACTATTTGCTTCTTTTCATATTCTGCTTATGATTTAATAATAAAACGTGATAAGAATGAAATATTAGTTCACAGTTTCGCTTTTTTAGCATCTAATAAGCAAGTTTACAGGCCAACCAAGAGAATTTTCCTTAGTTCTTTTCTCTGTAATAGGTTTCCTCATGTGTTCAGAGAAAAACCTGCTTCTCTGAAGCATATATCAAGCGTGTTGCACTGACATTCGCATTCTACTTAAGCATTTAAAAAATGAGAAAAATATCTGTAACTACAAGTAGCAAACTTGTTTTCATAAAATCCAACCAGTTCGAATTTCCACTTTCCGTTTTTACAACGTCTATTGTTTACTTTCATTTGAGCAAACAAACACTTTCCAACGTGAGTAATTTATAATTATCCAAATTAGCATGTTTAAATGAACAAATTCAATGATCTGTTTATTCACTACATTTTCCGCAAAAAAGAATGCTCAAAACAATCGAAAACTACTGTCAACACTTTAAAAATTTTTAGAACTATACTCGTATTGAATAATTCTATCTATATCATTCTTGTGCAGTTTTGCAACTTTCTTCAGAGTCTTTTCATAGACAGTTTTATTAAAGAAGCTTGATCTGGATCTTTCAAAGCTGAAATAAGATGTAAATATAAACATCCTAAACGCACTTTTCCATAGAGTAATTCCTTAATACTTACAACAAGTTTCCAAGCAATCTTTAGCCAAACGGATGCAAGCTCGATCATGTATGTTGTAGCCCAAAGAATTGGAAAAGATATTGAGGTAATTAAGATGAAAATTATGCACCTGAAATACTATACATGGTAGTTAAAAGTGAATGTAAGTAGAGTTTAACAGCTAAATAATCTGACTTATAGCTCCACCTTTATATTCGTATTACTACTCACTCATACAAAAAACTACAACAATCCAAAAGCAAGACAATATTGAATAACGCTGAAAAATTAAAGTTCAGAGGAACACCTCATCAAGATGCAAAGCACGAAACAACTGATGCGTCTGCAAAATATTGACCCAACGAACATTTGCCTTCAAATAAATATCACATATAAAAATTGTTGAAAATGAAACTTTGGTATATAAAAACATTTTCCAATGTTTAAATCAAACCTTTTGAAGCAAATCACTCGCTTTTCTTAGTTTCCCCAGGTAAATTAAAACTGCAGCATGCGTAACTGTTACTTTCCATTCTGGCCAATATTTTCTAGATGCAGACAATGCTGAAAAAATTGCAAAGCAAAAAAAGTAAGATACAAAGAAAACAATGGTTAAATGTTATAAAAATTTAGGCTCAACAGTAAATAATAGTTTTAAAAAATCAAATTCAACTACCAACCTCTATTAACTAGAATCTCGTCATTAATTTTACCAGCATAGATCAGCAAACATATGATGCCATTTGGAAAATTAGAAAACTGGAAATTACAGCAAACTTTCAGGGCTTCTTCAAAGCCAAATCTGGAAGTGGAAGTTAGATGATACATATATCAAAGTTACACAGATCACAATCAAGCAGTTACGAATAAAGATCCTACACTAACTTTTTTAATGCTACGGAAGCAAATGGAGTAGAGATAGTTTCAAAAGGACCACAATGAATCCAGTTATTATCGGCAAGTTTCCTAAACAATCGTGAACATGAAATCAGCGATCGGACATCTTCGCTTAACGCTTCTGATGTAGTTTGCACCAGTTTTCTAACCGATTTTTGAACATGGTAATTTGACAGATGAGTATCTGAAAAGTCAACAGTAATCAGATAAAACTCAGTGATTACAGTACAGTCAATCTACAGTATGCCTACTGAGAACGACTATTAATACAAGTACTTAAGTAAGACTAAAACAGGAGACTATAGAGCATAAGACATAAAAATAAAAAAACTGGAAAGAATAACACAATATTCATAAATTATAATTCTATATATAAAATTTTCTGAACGGATGCAAACACAGAAATATCACTTTTACAAACACTTGATTGCAAATAATGAATAAAATCGAGGGTCATATCCAGACTTTTGAATTCTTCTAAATGTCGACTGATAACTGATATGGCATCTACAATTGTAAAAAAATCTTCGCCAATTTTACATTTATGTCTGAAAAAGAATACTTTATCCTCTCAAGAATACACAATACTTTTCTTAGCTTAAGTTAATTAATTATAAATAGTTGCAATGCTTTCTCTGCATACAAACTTCCAATATTCAAAAAACTATATAAGATATTTGTTTTCAGACAGTTATAACAAATGAACTGCTTTAAAACAATTTAAAACTAACAAACGCTTTATACATTCTATCAACATATTCCATTCTGCTTTACGAATGATGAGCTTAATAATGGACTGAAGAAGTTGCGATGGAATGTTATCAAAACCACTAGTTCTGATGAATTCTTGGATTCCATTCAAATTCTGCAAGCATTATATCTTCCTACAAGTATATAACAACGCTGTTGAAGCGCTTTTTCGAGCAGAATATTACCTCATTGAAAACGCATTTTTTTAAGGTTTCTAATGACATGCCACCTCTTCTATCTTCACTTGTTTTAAAATAGCCCATTTGCTCTTCCAACCATCTAAAAACAAACATTACTTTAAAATATTATATTAATTTTACTGGCTTAAATTATAAGAATCTTCAATTTGATCAACAACTTAAACATAGCATCTTACTTCGCAGAAGTGCTATTTGGCATTAAAATAAATTTCGAGAAATTGTAGACATTTTCTTCTGACAGTTCCTTTCTAATGATATTCAAAACACGAGTAAGATGTTCCACATTTAATTTTCGCTCTTCTTTGACAGTATCATCTAAAAATACATTAATAAATGTACGTAATTTTTTAGCACAAAAACATTTCCAGCAATAAATCACCATTAGTAGTACTTATTACAGCACATTGGATTTGCAACTTAATTTTACATAATGACCTGCAGCGATTAGTGGGTAAATCAAATGCTTTTTTATAACGCTCTGATCCAAATAAACTATATCAGTATAACCAGCTGACATGAAACTCGACAATATTTGAAGACAATCATTAACTGAGAATGAACTGAAATATGAAGAAATAATATATTCATCGCAATTATATAAGGCTTAAAATTTCGAAATATGAAGTTCAATGACCAATTAATACATTCTTAGATGAAAAAAACACAAACCGAACAAGTAAAGGCCTAATGACGTGAATTTTAGCACAGTTTGGGTCCAAGATTTTTAGAAGTTCCAACGCTATCCGTAATGACTTTAGAACTGGATGAAATTGATCAGTCAAAATACAAAACAAAATGTGTTGTAGCAAAAAGTACCTGAAAATTTAAGATTTTACAATACATTATTGCTAAACCAATATCTTATTTTCTGTTCTCTACCCTATAATAAATTTCTAGAAATCCTAGCAAAAAGCTCACGCATGATATATATTTTGGTTGATATGATTGAACAAATCTTTTAGTTCATCTAGTGACATATCTGCACTTATTAACGCTTTTGAAAAACAATTAATCCAATTCACATGTCGTCCAATATCTAAAGTAATTATTAGTAACATATCGTGAATTAATGGAGAAAAAAGTATTCTGAATTTTAAAATAATTACTTTCATTTAAGAAACGTGATATATAAAATTAATTAAAAATGTACCATCATCAGAACTCGATGTGACACATGCATGTAAGTCAATATGGAAGTAGGAGAGAGCGGAATAGAACATTTTATGGATTGAATGTCGATTTGTTTCTCGAACCATTAATTTCAAAAACCCCCGATCTTTTTTTACTTCTCTCAGTAGCTGAAATATGGCAATGATAAACTCAACGACAACAATGTGACCAAATTCATAACAAAAAGTCAGAAGCTGAAAAACTAACTTTAATGCAAAGAAGATGGTTTTCTTTTCCCATCGAATCATTGCTATTTTGAGCAAGTAACCAAACCAGTTTTATTACCATTTCATCACTGAGTAATTTAACTGACATTTCTGTCGAATTTAATAACTGGAAAAAAAGAGTAGGTTATTTAGCAATTTCTTATCTATTTTTTGATCTTTACTATTTGAAACAACGAATTAAAGGCCCTGTATATCATTTATTTCATCGCAAATTTTAGAGGAGGACTTACTAACTTCAAACTTTGAATATCATGTTTTTCTATAGCAACCTGACAGCGTGTCATCAAAATTAGAGGCTCAATTTCTTTTCCATATTGCTTTATGGAATCCTATAATAAGCACATAAGATTTTCAATGCACGTAAAACATATATATGGAAAAAGAAACTACATGTACTGAAATTAGCATATATATTAAAAAGTCGGATGTATTTTTTCAATGCATAAGAAAAAAATATCTGGTTTCAAGACATGCTACTTTTATTAAAAATGCTCACCTGGATTAGCTGTAAAACGCTGCTGTCGTTATTCTTGAGATAAGAGTAGATTTGCGAAGCTTTCATTTTCATGTTCACACATAATCCATGCTTATTTACTTCTGATAACATCAAGCTAAATAAACAAAGGCATTTCAATAAAAAACAATCTCGATCAATATTTCTTGTCTCTAAAAAGAAACAAGATCGTCCATAAATTTCTTAAATTCGACAGTCTCACATTTTCATTATTCTTATATGGATCCTTTAATGCTTTTATTATCATCTATTCATATCAAAAACTTATACTCCTTACTTCACCTCATTGACACTGCCAGTAGTTGAAAGCTCCTGCAAAAGAATCGTAAATAGCTCCTCATCCGGTTCCAGGCTGAACAGTGTTTTAGCTTCTTGCAACATCTCAAATGCATTGAAAGTCTGCTCGTTTTCAATTGCAATAGTTAAACGATTTTTCATCGTTTGAAGAGTTATTGGAACATCTTCAAATCATCCTTTTAATTTTTTTAAATAAGTCAAGATTCATTTCACAGAAACTGATATTAAATTCTTACACACAAATCCTGTCTTAATGATTTGAAATAGGAAAGCAAGCTCTAAAATGTACTTGTGACAACCAATGCTTTCCAAAATCGATTTGCTATCGCTGACTTAACCATACATGTAGCATCACTCATGGTAACACCACACAAACTTAGCAAAAAAGGCACATGAGTGTCTTTGGATCGTTGCAACAATTTAACCAAGCTTTCTACAACAAATGAAAAAATTTAAAAAAAGAGACTAAACTGCATTTCCACTTGTAAATTTATAAATAATGAGATACTTGTTACGAACAGATATATAAAAAGTAACAATGCCTGCTAGAAAGTAATTTCATAAAATACCATTTCTCGATTCAAGTGGTAGCAAAATCTTCTGGACAAACATGTCATGATTCACTATTAATCGCTGACAATACAGATCACGTAATCCAGCTACTACGAAATCTGGAGATTGTTCCATTACACATCGCTACAATTCCATGAATTTATCTATTCTTAATATTAGCACTAAATTTAACTCTTGGTAACATCCAAAGAGTTGATTAAAATGCGTATTGCCTTTGTTTGCAACTTTGTAAAATTTTAAAAGATATGGGTATTTAATCTAAAGATTAAAGAAAAAAAATGCAACTTTCTATTGAAAACCATAAAGAAACATATCGTAAAGAGCTTAAAGATTAGTTTCAGACTACCTCATTTCTGTTAGCCACATACTGTCCTGTTTTTATTCTGCTACTTTTTCGTGCAATATTTTCCAAGGATTCTGCGAAAAGCCACCGTCGTAATGTCAAATTTACTTCATCTCTAGCTACCAAATTCATTACTAAGCAACATTTTTGTTTCGGGAAAGCACTCAATCTGTGAAATAAATGTCTAACAATGTTTAACTTTCGCAACTGAAAAACTTGCTTTTTGCAAAATTTTCACGTAAAAACAAACAACAAACCGATAATATCGAGTACAGAGCAGTGAAAAAATCCTTCGTATAGTGCCACACGAGACCATAACATTTCATTGATATACTTTGAAAATAATTCAGACTCTGTAAGAGTTAAATTTATGATTCCGATTTCGAATATTTCATTAAACAAGTATTACATCAGCAATTCAGTGATTCAAGTTGCAAGGCAAATAAATCGCGAATACAAATGCAATGATGACTTGTAGCAAAAACGTATAAAATGTTATTGATAAAATGTAAAATGTATAACGTGTAAAATGTAAAACGTATAAAATGTATAAAACATAAAATTCATATTACTGCAATATTTCAGTACTGCTATGATTAGTATTATTTCTTCCCAAAAACCACGTATATACTGAAACATATTGTGATTTTATACTATTATATGAATAGGAAATTTTCAAAGTTGAAATAAAGCTTGATTTATTCAATTAGCAAAGTTATTAATTAACAAAAAGTTAAGATATCCCGCTGAATATTTCAAATCAGTGAACTAGACTAGCAATAATTACATTCTTCTTGCATTTTATTAATACAAATATCATCTAGAAAAGTAGCAACGATTTATTAGAAATTTACCGCAAATTTTTCACGGAAGTAACTGAGAATTAATTGGAACATATTGTGCAACAAACTTGTCTCACCGGTCATTACAACGCTAAATTTATCAAATATAAACAAATACTGAAGAAAACAATTTAATTTGTACAAATTTTATTACATTAATCATGCGTTCACTCGAGTCGATACTTTGAAGTTCATTTATGGGTTAAAGTTCATATAGTTGCAACAATTAAAGTTTCAATTGCTATGCATTGAAGATTAATGTAATAAAATTTGTGTAAATTAAATTGTTTTCTTCTGGTATCAAAAATACGCTATTGATTTGATGATTCTGAAAGTTTTTCATCGTCATGAATAGATCCAGTAGTGCTAAGTGTACTTAGGGATTCAGAAACCATCCTTACTCTGAAAATAATTTTTATATTAGTTAAATTGAGCAAAAAAGTTGTTTAAATTTAAAAATCAGAAATTTGTAACTTTTTCAAGTTCAAAGGTTGTAATTTTGTTAAATTTGCTATTTAAAAATATTAATAATTGAAAGAATACTTACTGAGTAGTCTTTGCATCTGTTACTGAAAGAGTAAGCTGGGTGTTACTTAGATCTGCTTCGTCTTGCAAATATTTTGCTTCGCTTATTTCTCGACGATATTCATCACGTTCTCGTTTTTGCAGTGTATCTATTATTGCTCTTAACGTGATCTAAATTATTGAATATTATATCCAAATATTTGCATATTTGTGCTATTAAATTTGCATAATCTCTCTGTGTAGTCCTAAAATGAATCATTTTAAAATCTATCATTTCAGCAGTTATTATAAATGATAAGTAATAATTGTATATGTAAGATTTCACTAAAATTTGCATAATTTTTTTGGAAAACTAAAATTTAAATACATACTATGTTAAAAATAGAAGAAATACTGGAAGTCAATAATTATTTTTATGCAAATTTTTCTTTAACAAATCATTAATTAATTAAATTTATACAAAGTAAACCTTAATATATTGAAAAGGTGGTTCAATATAAATCGTTTGTTGAGGTGTAAAGTGAAGTTTGCACAAATCTACAAAATTCTCCCTATTGCAATATCTCAAATAGATCTGATCAATCAATTCAGCACCAAATTCAGCTGCAGTTGCGATCTTACGACAACCGTCTTGATCTGTGTAAAATGCTTCTCCTCTAAGCATAACTGTTACTGATCTGAAATCCAATCTTATGCGATTAAGTTCTTGATCATAATTTCGATTATATTCAACAGTAAATTTATTCAGACGTAGAAACTATTACTCTAAAGATTTATTGATTAACATTATTAAACATAATTTTATAAGCATTTATGGTCACTTTGAATAAACGAGAAAAGTATAGTTGTTTACTACTTATTTATTCTAAATATTTGTTGATCGTCTTTGTTCACCATTATTTTAAATATAAATGAAGAGGTATATATTTGATTTACATTTAATTCAATTACATTCATTCAATTATATATTCCAAATTACATGCTATTAACCTTGGTCAGAACTTAATTAATTACTCTTTACAATTAATTAATTGTTATTTATTATAAGTATTTAGATTAACTTGTTGACTAGAAGCAACAACGGTGTGCAAATTATGTTTAAAAGTAAAATGTTGGCAGTAGATCAAGTCTGCTAACATAAAAATAGTATCAAATACTAGTTGTGAGTAATGAAGATATAACTGTTACTAATTATCTGACCACTGTCCATGCTTATTAATATTCCTCAAGTCATAATTACCTGTAGAGAGAGCCTTTCTTGTAAATACAAAATTTTTTATCAGCATTACTTGAAGTGTGGATTTCGCATATATTAAAAAGTCGACGCATTGTATCAATATTGAATGATAATCCCTATATTAATGATATCTGATAAGCCATATAATTCAAAACTTTTGTCTTAATAAAGTTTCGTTGATTTTAAAAATATTTCAGCTTTTCATATTTAAAATTTTAATAATTCTTGTATAATCGAACCTGTGAATTTGCATGCAAAATATATGCTGAATTTTGACTGCTTGATTGTAAAATCAGTAAATTATTAGAGATATAATTACTTTGAAACCAGAATAATTTTCTAATGCTTGTTGAATATGGTAAATTTGTTCTAATGGTGGTAATGGATTAGGTTCTGATCGCAACCAATCGAAGGTTGCTTGATCTCGATGTAATCCAATTCGTCGATTTGACCATTGAAATTGTTCATCATGCAAATTCAATATTTATTTATTATGATATTAATTAATTAATTTAAATTAGGTTGTATTAAAGTTTCAATTTTTATTTTTTTTAATATTTTGAATTTCCGCTGCTATTGTTTTGTATGTTTTAATTTCAGTTTGTTCTTTTTATATTTTAAATTCTATTTTCTATTCTATCTAAAAAATTTTTGCAAAAAGTGTTGAAAATAATAATAATTCAGCTGAGCTTACTTTCATTTCACCAAAAATTTCTTCAATAATATCCTCAAGAGTTATTAATCCAATAAGGCTATAACTTTTACTGTCATATTTTACTACCATTGCAAGATGAGATATGTAACCTTAAAAAGTTTTTATTTATTTTGCATAGAATAATTATTAGCCCTCAATGAAGCAAAAAAACATGTGTGTAATATTTTGATAACTTTGTCTGTAATACTAAATTATATTACTGTATTGGAGGTCATGCTGAAAATCTGACCTTTTGGTTCAAATGCAAAGTTTTGTCCTTCCATTTCGTACATCAAGGGATTCACTTGCATTTCTTCGCATACGAAACGAACCTAAATTTATCAAAATTTTATTGAACTTTGATTTGATTAGTAAATGTTAATAAATACTACAAAGTATTGATTTGCCAAGCATCAATAATCATTGATGCTAATATTATCAGTAATCTAATTAATAATTAGTAACCTGATCAATAATCATATTTTTGGACAACATAAGATTAACTAATTTATTTGCATAAATTACACACAAATGATATGAGTAACAAAAAAGATATACAAATACATGAAAAAATGATTAACTTGTTTCAAGTAATTAAGTTTTTTGAGTACATCGATTACGCAGACATTTTTGCTGAAGTCTGTACTGATAAGATCTTTAACATTGAGTACAGCAATAACTTTACTTCTTTTTGAGCCTTCATAGACAGGTATACGAGTGTAGCCTTTTTCAACTATTGACAAAATTAACTAAAATAAACTTAATACTTTTTCAAATTTGCATATTTTTTCGACACATGATTGTACATTATTTCATGCAAATTATCCTTCTACATTAATTAATTAACTAATAAGGTTATGTATATATTCATTTATTCAGTCATTCAGTTCTTAATATGCAAATTAATGATTTAAATCTTAAACAGCTAGCAATTAATTTAAAATTTAAAATTGCAGTTAGCAAATCTTTTTCAATTATTAATACAAATAATTGCTTGTCAAATAATAAATTTGGCATAAAACGAGCAAAAAATTATATTTTCATGCTAAATTAATCTTTAATTTGCATAATGTAATGAAAAAATTTATGCTAACTGACCTTATTGTCAAGAGTATCCTTAGTGGACAGAAGAAATGCTTCATCAATTTTTGTCATCAGATTGCCAACTCGAATTCTTGGCAAATTTATCGTATTTTTCAGAATTTCTAAAATACATATTTGTTTTGTAAATTTTGCTGTGATTTGATTACGATTTTTTAATAATTTTATGAAAAATATGCAAATTAGACAACATTAGCAGGTTAAATTTGAATTAAAACTACCTGAGAATACTGCAGAACTTGCTCTTGCCGCCTCCAAAATTAAAAATTCAATCTTACTTCGATCATAGACTTCACATCCTATACAGATGCAATAAAAATGTTAACCTTTTAAATTTAATTCTCAGTTAATTATTGATTTTAGTTTATTTTCATTCATTAGTTATAATTAATTAGAGCTAATTAATTTCAGTTCATTACAGAAATAGTTAGTAAGTTGTAACCTTGAGCTCCGAGGGTAGCGTCAAGAATTTTCGAGAGCGGCCACGCAATTGGTGATAAAATGATCATTGTTAGCCACGTAACATAACGTGTTTTACTTGCTATGCATAAACCTCTCCGATTGCAGATCGCCTAAATTTGCATAATGCATTAGTTTTACACGTAGGTTACTTAAATGAAATCAAACTTGACCTGCGCATTTGATCGTAATTGAACTTTAACTTATGTGTTTTTAAAAAAATGCTAATTAAAAAGTACACTTTTGACCAAAAAAACCTGTATTAATAATAAAAAATTATTATTTGCTAAAATATGTGACAGCCATTGAATTTGTTCTTCTCGTAAAATTTTAAGCAGATTTTGTCTAGTCGAAATACAATAATTTATGCATACATTCTATAATTATTCTTTTCTTTATGCTTTACTTTAAAAAACATTTACCAAAGGTAATAATTCGGAAAATACTACAGTAATTATGCACGGTATGAGCGTTAAAGCAATAAATGGCAAGCTACCATGACTTATCTGCAAATACAGTAATTATTAATATATTATTAATATTTAATATTCTTCATAATTATCCGTTATGACATAAATTAATTGTTTGAAAAAGCATTTAATTTGACAAATTGATATCAAACAGACAAAAATCTCAAAAATTAAAAAGTTGAAATTTTTTTCACTTACATATTGAAGAAAATTTTCAATTAACAATGAAGTGGCACAGTTTGTGATGGCATTTGCTGTAGCGAAACTACAGATTAACCAATTCAGATGCAAACGTACAGGTATGATATTTTTAGCTAAACGACTTTGCTAAAATTTGAATAATTTGGTAAGACAACATTGAAGTTATACAAGTAATCTATCATTAATTGAAGCAATTATGTTAATATGGATGGGAGGCTCTCACGTACGTTTACTTTTTAAATTTAAAAAGTGAATATTTTAGATTTGATTGAATAAACATACGTAAGAGTCTCCCATTCGCATGATGACGTATAATTCACTAATTGCTACAGACGTAAATGATAAATTAAGTCCCGCAAAAAGAGCTGCCATAATTACAGTAAAAATAATCAAAGCAATTGTAGAATAGAATGGAAACGGTAATGAATAGGGCTCTTTAGATGCTAGCACTTGGATTCGAATCTGAATTGATTATTATACTTAAATACTGATAAAATTAACTGATCTGAAATTAGTTCAAGTAATTTTTAACTTATAATTTAATATTTATTTTCAATTAAAAATTTTAAATCAATCGTTTTGACTACAATAAAAATAATTTAAAATTTGTTACTAAAGTAATCACTTTGAATAAATGCTAGGATTAGATCAAGATCTACAAATTGAATTATTTAAAACTCAAAACTTCGTTGTTTTTAACGCTTTACTTATTCATAAAAAATCATTAAATTTTTTTTAAAATTTGCTGACAAAAAGTTTTTGTAATTTGCAAAAACTCAAATTTTTTATGCAAAAATATAAAATTAGTAACATAATCAACTAGATGTAAAGTTGATATTTTGCACTGATAAAGTGAAGAAAATTATTCAGTTAAATGAAATTATAAACTCTAATTCAAATCCAAATTCAAGTTCAAATTTAAGTTCAATTTCATTCATTCATTATTTTTTTATTCATAAAAAATCATTAATTTTTTTAAAATTCAATAATTTATTTAGTAATTTATTTTATAGCTTATTATTAAAAATAGCTTATTTTTATAGCTTATTTTATAGCTTATTATAATATGTTAATTAAACGTATTGAATTATGAATTTTGAATACAAATCAAATAATAATATGTTAATTAAGCCTATTAAATTATGAATTTTGAATAAATTATTAAATAAATAATGCAAACATTGCCAGCAATTGATTCTTTAAGCGGTGGCTTTGCGCATAACAAATAAAAATGATCATTTTCGGGTATGCCACTGTTCAATTCCAGTGAGAGTGCATTGTGATATGAATATTCATCGACCACATTTAAGTAATAGACTGCTTTATTCATTCGAAATGAATCCTTAATTTGAATTTTGAGTAACCATAGAAAAGAGAAAAAATAAAAATTCAGTTTTCTGATCCAGAACTCTCTTTCTTCAGTTTACTGAATTACAGTACGCTTTTGATTTTTCATTACTAAACTTTACAGTTATTGATATTAATAACTATTAGAATGTTGTCAATAATAATAATAATAATAATAATAATAATAATAATAATAATAATA